TACTTTGATAATGATGATCTGTGTAACCCTAGGAGATAACTATCCTAACAGACTGCATGAAATCCTAATTTGATCATGAAGGACTTGAATATAGTACAATAATATCATTCCAGTTAAAATGTGGGAACATGGGTGATAGTAGCTCTTTATCAGTTTGATAGTCAAATCCAAGGACATCTAGCTGTCATATGACAAAAATCAGAGGTTTTAAGCTAGCGATTAAGTACCAGGTCATTTTCTAGCTCCTATCCCTTAAATAAAGGCTACTTCTGACTTGCAATGATGCCATTTAGGTGCCCTGTGTTCAAAATCTTCCTTTCTTCTTCCACTAAACACCCCCATTTCACAACACATCAAAGGAATTAAGCTTTGTTAGTCTGACTGATGTGGAACTGGTCATTAGAGCTTAAAACAGTACCTAAGAATCAGAAATAAAAAGCAATTATCCTTACACACTAATACAGATCTTCTCAGGTTGTCACACTTCCTTCAGTCACATTTCCAATATCCCTTCTATTGTCATTCTTAGTTATCATATCAATTTGCATTTATAAATACAACAATCTGTATGCAACTAGCATTAATTAGCATCTCTTAAGCAGCTCCTCTTTATTCTCAACTCTAGGCCCAGTAAAATCTTTGGCCCTGACAATGTCTCTAGAAATGTTGCTTCAATTAAAAAAAAAAACATTTAAACCATGCTTCTGAGAAGTGATAAGATAGAACATTAAATGGCTCTAATATTATAAGCTCCATTCTACCTAAAAGGCAGCCTTAGAGATCAGTATCCATAAAAACAAAATACCAAAGGCCAGGCACAGCTTTTAAACTAATGAGATCTTGTTTATCTTACTTGTATCATGGAAATCAAACTACGGTCATGTGAATTTCCTGATCTTTACAAACATGCTTATGAAAAGTAAGGCCATCATAAATCATAGTTTAGAAAACCTGTCCTGAATAATCGAAAACGTTTTCCTGGACAAACCAAATCATCAGAGACCTGGGTGCCTGGCCCACGTATTTTGGTGTCCTTGTAGAAATATACTCACCAGGATGAGTTGAGGTGTTGGCCATCAGCTAGTATTTAGGGCCACTACAAGATACAACCCTTTTTGTTTTGTTTACTGGAAAGACAGGACTTTTTTCTTACATGAATGCAAGATACATCCCTTTGTTTTGTTTACTGGGAAGACAGGGTTTTTTTCTTACGTGAGCGCAAAAGAAAAGTTTCTTTTGGGCTACATTACCAGAAAATGTTCTTCTCCATGACTAGCTTTTTATTTAATGGACACTGTAATTCCTGTAACTAAGAAATCACACCTTCTCTGTGTGGCCTAACAGGTTTCTCAGAACTGATTCATTGCCCAGGTGTACATGACATTTTAGGGTGTTAAATTCATTTTAGGTATTAATTCCACCCAAACAAATGTTCTCATTTACTTCTTAAATATTGTACAGTATGTTTTTTCATAAATCCTATTTGGAAAATGGCAGGGTAGAAATAAAACAATTACACAATTGCTGGAAAAAAAAATAAGGCTGCTAGAAATTTCCATTTGTCTAAGCTGCTTCCAGACTAAGGTGCTTCCAGGAAATAGAAAATAGCCCTGTAGCATGGACCAGTGATTTTCCAACAATAAACTACAAATCACTTGTATACTGACAAAGCAAGATACTCTAACTTTTGCCCCTACCGTTTTAAGACAACACAGATGGACAGACGACGGTCTTCCAACTTCTCACCAGCTCAAGAGAGACAGGTCCAGGGTTACTTGTATGTGTTTACATACAGTTCTTTGGATCAAGACCCAGAAAAAAAACTTGCCAACTTAAAATCTTTTTGAGAACTGAAAGCTAGAAAAACACACATACCACAAAAATTTCGGTTGGAGGGGGTGGTCCTATAGATATCCTCCATTTATGATCCTAAAGGTAAGAACTCCTTTTTAAAAGATGGCAAGCTTAAGACACCAGTCACTACAGCTCAGATCCTAGTTCCTGAGAGAGAAATCCTGTATTACATGATTTTCATTTAAAAGGCTCAAAGCTTGGGGGGGTGGGGTGATTAGGGATGGCACCTGCTCGTATTATTTAGTAATAAAATATTCATAGTGTGGTAACTGCCTCAAAATATTCTGCTTTGCACCTCTTCATTCTACATGATCCCTCTATATAGAGAACAATAAACTCTGCACCACCCAGATTTAGATTTCCTAGGAGGACCTCCCTCCATCCAACATTATTTGTTTGCCTCCATTGACTAGAATGGAAGTTACATTAGGGTAGCAGGGACTTTGTATTGCTCAGGGATGTACCTCTGGTGCATAAGAGGCACTCAAATATTTTTTTTTCAAATATTTTTTAAATAAATATTCTCTAGGAGGCTCTATAGCTGTTTTTTGTAAATGAAATTCTACTAGAACTCAGTCATGCTTATTCATTTACGTATCACCTATGGCTGCTTTCATGCTATAGTGGCAGAGCCCAGTTGCAACAGGGTATAAACAGCCCGTAAAGTCTCAAATATTTACTATCCAGTCCTTTACATAGTTTGCTGACCCCTAATAGCACTCATTTGGCCCTTACCTCAAGCTAGACTGGAAGCACCCTAGGTACAGGAATTAGGTCTTAATACCCCATTGTACGTAGAGCAGAGCAGATACTTAAAAATAGCTATCACTACACAAATACAGATTTCCTACTTCCAACATAAATTATTTTTGCACAGTTAAATCCAAAGTTAGTATTTTCCATCCTCAATGCATTTCTAGCAAGGATACAACCAAAGTTCACCAGTGTTCAATTAATTTTTTTTTTAAAGATTTTATTCATCTATTTTGACACAGAGAGAGAGAGATCACAAGTAGGCAGAGAGGCAGGCAGTGAGAGAGAGGAGGAAGCAGGCTCCCTGCTGAGCAGAGAGCCCGATGCGGGCCTCGATTCCAGGACCCTGAGACCATGACCTGAGCCGAAGGCAGAGGCTTAACCCACTGAGCGACCCAGGCGCCCTGTGTTCAATTAATTTGAGGGACAAGGAGAATAGATCCTGATCCTAAGCAAGTAGTGATCTTTCTGGTTCAAACTCATAATCATGTATTCTTTAAAATGTGAATGCAACGTAACTGGAGAGCTCCTCCCTGCTATGTTTCAGACAAATGATTCTGAGGTGAATCATAGCTATTTTCTCAATGTCAAAATCATTTTAACAATGCATAATTTCTTTTTATGCCAGGCACATTACGGGTGCTCAACAGTCACTGAATGGATCATTCTCCCATAATTACTGTGTTCATCAATTTTTGCAAATCACAATTACCTGAAAAGGGGCATCAAGATTTATATCCCTATGCCAATTCTCATATATGCTCAGTATTTCTCAATCCTTTAAAAAATTATAGAATGACAAATTCTCTAAAAAAAAAAATTTAATTTGCATAGATATCATCAGTTCCAAAGAATTGAAGAGTAAATGGATAATTTTAGGCATGATTACAACCCACTGTTTACCCCAGGTGCAGAGGTTAACAAATAAGATTTTTTCATATTATTGGATGAGATATCATTTGAAAACACTGTAGATCATGGACTAAGAAATGAAAAGGGCTAGGAGCCTTACTGAACTATCTTTACTAAGTTATTGTGAATAAGCAACAATATACACAATGATATACAATCATTTGAGAAAACTATTGTTTATTTAGAAAAAAGGTTACACTGGTAGAATTCAGTAGATAAAAAAATTTTCTTTTAAAAATGTCACTGTGAAACTTTTCCAGACGAAAGTTCAGCAATACAAAGCTTCTGTAGCTGTAGAATTAAAACACAATTAACTTTTGGTTTCCCCCCCGCCCCCAGATTTGTCTAACATAATTACAAGAAAAAATGGCAAGGGACAAGTGAGTGCTGGTACCTTTTTCTTTTTTAAACAGGTTTTAATGTTGTACATGTACTATATAAAATGATTCCTAAGCATTGCATAAGACACTGCTCCCACTTCGTTTTTAGTGACTTAATATTAAAAACAGGCCAAATAATAAATTAAAACTGAGTTTTAAAATGAGGTAAATTCAAAATGGTTCAATAATTGTTTATTTTCAGTTTCAAACAATAAAAAGGAAGCATTTCAGATTGAAAAAACAAAACAACAAAAAAAAAAAAAAAAAACTAAACCCAGGCAATATTTAGTTATTAACCTAAAGTGAAATTCTGTACACATGTAACCTTATTTGCTTGTTGGGAACTGTATGCAGCACATTGTGCTAAAAATATGGAACAGTTAACACTTTCAGCCATTTACTGAAAATAAACATATAGAAACTAAGCAACAAGTTAAATACAGTAATGCACAACTCAACAATTTTAAGTTTTCGGCATGGAGCAATAAAGCAGATAACTGAATAACTTAAGAAGATGCAAATGGGCCCTCTTGATTCATAATTCTCGGCAATCTACTCAGGAAAATTAATTTCTGGTCACAGCTGAACAATTTCATTCCAATCTCACCTGAAAGAAACAAAGTGATTATATTGATAGATAAGAAAGGAAGAAGAGAAGGAAGGACACAGGGAAAAGAAAGGGAAGGGGGGTATGGAAAGAAGGGGCAGAGAGAGGGAAGGAGAAACCAGGGAGGGAAGGAATGGAGGGGAGGAAAGAAGGAAAATAAGAAGGAAGGAAAGAAGGAAGATTTAAGAAACAAAGAAAAATCGATGAGTTCTATCAATAACAAAGGCTTGAATTAAGTCCCTAGATAAGAATGAAATATTTGTGTATTTCTCATCACTTCCCCCTCTCTCAGAAACCATTAAAGATAGGCATGCTAGGAGGAGTTTAAAAAAAAAAAAACACTGAATATTTTGTCTGTGAGAGAGGGAGAAGTTGGGGAGAGGAGGGAGGATAAAATGAAAGAGAAACAAGAAAATATTCCACAGGGGCAAGCAATAGCTTGTCAAACGTAAACAGAACACAGAGCAATGAAAAGGAACCAATTTTACATGATCAAAAAAAAAAAAAAAAAAGAAAAATGACATCACATTTTTCACAAGGACGATTTTAATAGTGACTTATATTAAGATGCAATGTCTGCTAAATTATAAAAATTGCTTTAAAAATATATTGACTTAATTATACTCATTTCCTTTCCTTTATGTACTGACATTTTCAAATACTGCATATTGAAATAAATTCAAAACATGATCATTACAACATGTGGCAAATAACTTCATATCTGCCTAACATTGTTCTCATTCAAATTTTAAACTAATGCTTAAAGCATTAAACTTTATTGATGAAAATACTACATTCACATATTTCATAAAACCAGAGCTAGAAGGGCCTTGGGAAGTAATCACACTTGCATGAAATGCTGGCAAATAATTTACACATCATTTCTATACAGCATTCTGTTCACACCATGTATAAACTTGACATTATCAATTATAACTGTGGATACACTAATGTTGAACTTACAATTTTAATACTTAAAAATCATTGTTCCTGTCCATCACTGATGAATGGATAAACAAAATGTGGTACACATTCATACAATGGAGCATTACGCAGTTATAAAAAGAAATGAAGTTCTGATACATGCTATAACATGGATGAACCTTGAAAACATGATGCTAAGTGAAAGAAGCCAGATACAAAAGGCCACATATTGCATGATTCCATTTTTATGAAATGTCCAAAACAGGTAAATCCATAGAAACAGAAAGTACATTAGTTGTTTCCAGGGGAGGGGAAGGAAAGAACTGGGAGTGACTGCTAATATGTATGGGGTCTCTTTTGGGGGTGATGGAAATGTTCTGGAATTAGTGGTGATGGCTATTAACATAGTGAATATAATTAAAAACCACTTTAAAATTGCAAATTTTGTTATGTAAATTTTATCTCAATTTTTTAAATCGCAAAAGCAAAAGAAAAAAGAAAGTGTTGCATAAAGAGTATCATGATTTCAGTATGGCCATAACTAGAATAAGAAATGGGGGTCTCAATCATGATGATGTCACAGTAGAATTACCGGGCAAGGGAACTTTTGCTGACATACTTAAGGGCACATTAAGGGACAAAACTGCTGTTGCCATTAAAACATGTAAAGATGATCTTTCCCAGGAACTGAAATTAAAATTTTTACAAGAAGCCAAAATCCTCAAGCAGTATCACCATCCCGATATTGTCAAACTTATAGGAGTTCGCACACAAATACAGCCTATCTATATCATTAAAAACTGGTTCCAGGAGGCGATTTCCTCTCCTTTCTGAGAAAGAAGGATGAACTATAACAGTTAGTGAAATTTTCATTGGATGCTGCTTCTGGATGGCGAATCTCGGGTAAAAATTGTATACACAGGGACCTTGCTGCAAGAAACTGCCTGGAGGTGAAAATAATGTTCTGAAAATCAGTGACTTTGGAATGTCTCGTCAAGAGGATGGTGGTGTGTATTCATCTTCTGACTTAAAGCAGATTCCCATTAAATGGACAGCACCAGAAGCTCTTAATTATGGGAGATATCGTTCTGAGAGTGACGCATGGAGCTTTGGCATCCTCCTCTGGGAGACCTTCAGCTTAGGGGTCTGTCCACACCCTGGAATGACAAATCAGCAGGCACAAGAGCAAGTGGAAAGAAGATACTGGATGTCAGTCTCTCAGCAGTGTCCAGAGCGTATTTACCAATACAGTGTTGAAGTGTTGGGATTACAAACTTGAAAACCGCCCCAACTTCAGTGAACTTCAGAAAGAACTGCCATCAAGAAGAAAAGTCATATAGTGATGAAACAGTGCCAAACTCAGCCTTCAGGACTCTATCTTCTAGCAGAGTAATATTTTCTTCTCATTAACAATGCGTTTATACCACATTACCTGGAACATTCTCCTAAGGTTATTGTTTTCTTAACTATTTTTTTAAATATGTGCTACTCTAATTTTTTAAAAATGTGCTATTTATTCTATAAATAAGAAAGCACAGGTGCTAAATCCAAGAGATAACACAGATCTTTTTCATACTTAGGACTGCTTAGTTTCACAGGGCTTCTACTTCAGGCTGGGTCAGAGCTGGCTGTCCTCCATCCTAGACATCTCTATCAGTGCTATCAACTGCACTGGTAATACTGTGCTTGCAGAAACAAGATTACCTTTAAAAACATCACCTTCTACTAGGTATTATCTGGCTGGGCAGGACATCCTGAGGTTTTCTTCCTCCCTCCCCCAACTGTCCCCCCTAGAAATTGGCCCTGTTGTATTAGTAAGGTTGCAATTTCCCTAGGTTCTACCGCACCCTCCTCCTGGGCATCAGAAAACTATGCACGAAATGCCCTTGAAGAGCATGCTCTCAGAGCTGAGGCAGCTAGTTTCAAATGATGTTACTTTATACAGAGCTGTGACAGCAAGAACCAAGTCTGAAAAGTAGAGTGGTCTGGAGAAAAGTACAGCTAGACCACTGATCAAAATAGAGAAGAAAAGCAAATATAAATTCAGTCTTCTTATCTAAGGTATGCCCTTATAAACACACACATATTCTAATTTTATGATCAAATTCACCAAAAAGATCCTAAGAAATGTTTCAATAGCACACAGATTCCTCATAAAGGAGCCCTCTTGATGGCAACAGAATTTTTTTTAGAGAAACTAGAAAACACAGGCCCAAAGAATTAATAAGATTGCTTTGGGCTAAGTGTCTTCACCTCAAAGGAGGCATCTGAGAATCGGATTCCCTTCATTTCCATCAGTTTCTGAAGTTATCAGGATTTTGTGATCCTATTACACACATACACACACACACACACACACACACACACACACACACACACACACAATAGAAAGGCATATATGGATGAAGCTGACAGTTAAAAAGTCAAATGAACATTTATGAAGAAGAAAGTAGATATAGGAGAAAGACATAGGGATAGCCATCTTAATTCCACTTTACTCCATCATTTACTCTCCTTATACTACTGCTACCTAGGAATTCTTATCATAGTAAACATACTTCCTGAGATGGTCCATGTAGATAAATGTAACAAAGAATTAAAACTGGGATTCTGTTGAACTCAATCTTAGCAAACCTACGGGTCCCTCTCAGGATAAAAGCATGAATAAGGGATAGTCATACTCCGGGATAAATGTGGCATGGGAGCCCTTTTCTAGGTGCTTATGCCTAAATCCTAATAACCAGCACAGCACCTAGTGAATATTTGGTCTACCCTAAGAGAGAGAAAGAAAACAAAAAATTCCTCCTATTCTGTCCAACTTTTTGGTAACCTATGAATATCAGTGCAAAGAATGCACACCCACTGAAGAGTATAAATGATGGAAATGAAGAGAAAAATAGTTTGTGTCTATCATTTCAATCTCCTAACAAAACTTTCAAATGCATTTAATGATTACTACATACAGACCTAAATGAAAGCAAAATAAACCCGCCCTCAAAAATATGCTGTAACACACAAAGCAACCTCTTCTTAAACAGGATACTACCAAATGCTATCAGTGAACTTTGAGGGCAAAAAAAAGTCCAGTGCTCTTTCTCATCAATCCCAAAGAGATATACATAATACTTCTGCACATAGCTCTCCCTGTAGAGTTAACTGAGTATCTGAAACATAGCAGGCAATAAAGAAAAATACCTGGTTGTTTGATTAAAAGGAAAGGATGAAGTTTCTGCCTTCAACAAGATCACAATCTAAGAAGAGGGATATGTAACATACCCATATATTACACAGGAATCTGTGACTGAGACTCTGTAGGCAAGCTGACATGCCCACATGTAAGCAATGGGAAACTAAGAAAGAAACTTAACACTCCCCCCCTCCACAACGGGTATTACCAGGACCTAGGACTGTGCTTCACCATGGTGACACATTCCTAAAATAAGCAATCTTTGAGCATGTAGGAGGTCAGTTTCCAAGTATGGACTGAAGAAAAAAGGTTCAGAACAGGAACTGCAAAATCAATGGTTTACAGAGGCTAGTATATAATGTAAACAAATGAAGTAAGCTGGGTGGGGACTGACTGAGGTAACTATTAAATAAAAAAAAGACCCATTCTCTATGTAAGGGGAGCAGCACCTAGGGTGCCCAGCTGATTGTTACCATGCAGAAATTGGACACAGAGTCGCCAGATGTTCCAATTCTTCAAGAGAAACTGAAATTTGGACTTTATCATATTGATTAAAACAAAGTTAAATATTATGTGAGGCCAAGAAAGTACATTTAACAAGCCACATTCTGCCCAGGGGCTGAGAGTTTGCCCTTGGGCAGAATGTGGTTTAAAGGATAAAAGAGTTAGGTTACACCTATGATACCGGAGGTAAGAGAAGGACCTGCAAAACAGATTAGGCCTCACTGGAGCGGAGGATTAGAACAGGAATGTAGTATACCACAAATACATATGGGTAGGATAGAGCTTAACTGCTAATGTTCTTTGAAATCAAGAATCAAAGTCCAAGAAGACTGAGCTTCTCAGTCTGGGAGCCAAGTCTCAGTACAGCATCTGGTTCACAAAAGGACTCTCAAAGGTTAGCTAAAACCTGACACTCACAGAGGACCACACATATCAAATTAAAATTGAGATGCTAATGGAACCTGGTTCAAAGAGAAAAATTTCAATTGGCAGGAGTTTTTAGAGATTAAACTAGGGGAAAAAGTTAAAGGCACAGAAACCAGTAGTGTTCAAGAGACTAACTCAAGGAGAGGAAAGATCAATTTGGACAAAAACATTACCAATAATAAGTAACAGAAGATTTAGAGAACAAGGAGAAAGGATTTTTCAACTAAAAATCATGAGATAGGAAAAGACAACAGAAGACTTTGGAAGCAATCTAATCTGGGTCACATTTATATATTATATTTTCTTATCTCTAATGTGATCATTTTAATTTTCCTGAAATCAGGGCAATATTTACAAATCAATGTCATTTCCCTATCCACTCTGCTCAAAAAAAAAAAAAAGTTCTAGAAACCAACAGTGGATCTTACAATTAATAACATCTCAGAATCATGGAAATGTGACACTATGCGGCAGCTCTCTTTTATGTAGAATGTAAAATAACTTAAAAAGGGAGCAGCAGATTTGAAGTAGCCTAAAAGTAAATGGTGCCAATCAGAAATGATGAGATTTCTAAAGGATCAAGAAGAACAAGAGAAAGACCTGACCAATCCTAGAATGTACCCAAATAGAAGGAGGCAGCCAGAACAGCCAGAAGAAGGAAAAATCAACCAGAGCCTCAAAAAAATTAAGAGTCTACCCAAGGATAAAGTACAGGATGTGGTTGTCAGGAAAAAATTTAACAGTATGAACATCAAGCCAAATATATCTGAAAAGGATATCTGAATTGAGAAGGTTTGCTACAAGACCACTAATCTAACATTTAATACCCAAACCAGTCTTTTCATGCCTTTGGTCCTGAAAGCTTATCAGAAGAGGTAAAATACAAATCCATGGCCCATGTGAATAAGAACTCAAAAGAAATCTGTAGTAAAACCTTCACATACCAAAGAATAATATTTAGGTACTAAGTAAAGAGAGAATATATAAAATCATAGTGAAAGTGGTCTGTCACAATGGTTGACCCATTCCTAATGAAGATGTAAGTAGTAGGTTTTTTGCTTTCTTTAATAAGGAGACCATGTGAAAGCAAGAAGTAAAAAGCAAAATGCCAAAATAAAAGAAAGTAAAGTGAAGAATAAAAAAAGGAGATGAAGAGTTTATAGTTTGCTAGGGAAGGCAGCTAGTTTGCTAGATCTGAGGAATGGGCAATCTTTCTAAAGGTTTTCAAGAAAACCTACTCAATTCTAAGTGTTCTCTCATAATTCTCATTTAGCCTATTCTACTACTTAGATAACAAGCAGAGAATAACAAAACTGAAAAGGCACACACCACTTGTTAGGATGTTACCCAGGTGGCCTGTTCTGCAGCCAAAATAAATGGGACAAAATCCATACCCTAAAACTCATACCCTTACACAAAATGGGCTCTCACGCATTTCTGACTCTTAATTTAAACAACTGTAAATAGCCTTAGTTATCTCTCTGGTTTCATAAAAAGCAGCAGGAAATAATATTAGGGGGAGGGTGGAGACAGCAAGTATACTTTATATAGTATATAGAGGTGAATATAAAGTATACTTTATATCATTAAGAAATGATAGCTAATAAGGAAGCAAGAAAATGGGCTATAAAAGAGTTGACAACTTCAAATACAGCCATCTCAATTAAATGTAGAGGGTAAATCATCCTATAAACCTCAATAATCCTAAAGCATCACCAAACAAGAGCTATTCAGATGATGATCTGAGTACTCAAAAAAACTATCTTAAGTTCTGAACACTCTCTTCACTAAAAGTGAACTACTGTACACAATTTATTTAAGATGGTTAGACACTTTAAATCTCATACAAGGCAGAATTACCTTGAAAACGAAGTTGCATATTTTAAATTCCAGAACGAAAAGCACAGACCATATTTTCAGGCCTTGCAAAACATGGCCTGTGGTAGCAAATGAGGCATAAAAACTTAGAACAAAAATTTCTTGATAACACATTTGCAGGAAAAGGCAAAAAGAGGAACAGAGATCACTAAAGGGCAAGAAAACCTATGTTGTGAATACTGGCTCTGTCAGCTAATACCTCTGCTAGCCTCTTCAACTTAAGCCCTCAGAGTCTCAGGTCCTTCACCTGTAAAGTGCAGATATCAGCACCACCCACAAGGCTATAAGTACTTTAAAAAAAAAAAGGTGATTAATTATCCAGAGAAGTTGGAAATGAGTGGTGAAGAGAAAGCCAGATGTTCTTAAATACATCTTGGTGCTAAAAAAACACAAACAAACAAAACAAACAAACAAACAAACAAAAAACCCCTGCATGGCTAATCAGCAAGCTTAAGATGAAAGCAGCTTAAAAATAACTGTGAATCTTGTTTTGCATCTGTACCTGAAGACCTGGTCATTAAGAGTTAGGTGCAAAATTCAAGTTGCATCTTGCAAAATGTATCTAGTTTCTTCAACATTATCAGACCTTGTTTCATATTTCTATCTTTAAATGAAAGGAGGTGAGAAAACACTCACCTTGATTGAAAGTCTTCATTATCTGTGCTTGTCCGAGGACTTATGAGTAGATGACAAATTAAGGGAAAACAACTTTGAAAAAAAAAAAAGGAATGGTGTCTCAATTTTTAGTGCAGTCCTTCAGTTTGCAGGCCTAATTGGCTCTGACCAGCCTGGTAGCCTCAACTTCCACCAGCTCTGCTCATCTGCTGCATCATCTTGCCCTTCTAATTCCCATGCCCCCGGCCCAAGGGACTCCCTGTTCCCTTTCTTCCTCTCAGTAGTAATACAACCAGAGAGAATTGAAATCCCCTGACGGCATAAAACAACCTCACAGTCACCACAGAAGTTTAAAAAAAAAAAAATGCATCAAGTCTCCCACTTCCGCATTTCGTACATTTGAGAGGGTTAATTGAAGAGACTATTTAAAAGCTAATAAGCCCTTAAACTTTATTCAGACTACATACTACAAGGGTACAATTCTAAACATGACCAGTATCAAAGCTTTCCATTATACTGATTAAAAACTCCAATAAGATGAAAAGGATATTGTTTCTTCTCTTCCTTTCCTCCTGAACTGTCCCGTTTCTCTTTCTTTTCTATCTTTTCTTTATCATGCCTGGACTCCTATAAGGAATGGTGGAATTAGTTTGGGAAGGGAAAACCAAATATAAAAATCAGCTCCAAATCCCTTTTTATCACCCACCAGTCATACATTTTTCTTCAAAAACATATTTAATGATGCCAAAAGCACAAGCAACAAAAGAAAAAAATTGGACTTCGTCAAAAACAAAAACTTTCATGCATCAAAGAACACTAGCAAGAAAGTGAAAATACAATGTACAGAATGGGGGAAAATATTTGCAAATCATACATCTCATATAGGTCTAGTATCTAGACTATATAAAGAAGTCTTACAACAGAGCAACAAAAAGACAGACAATCCAATTTAAAAATGGCCACAGCATCTAAACAGATTTCTCCCAAGAAGATATACAAATGGCCAACAAACACATGAAAAGATGCTCAACATCATTAGTCATTAAGGAAATGCAAAACAAAACCACAATGAGATACCACTTCACACCCACTAGGATGGCTATAATAAAAAAAAATTTAATAAAAATTAAAAAAAAACAGAAAATAACAAGCGTTGGCAATGATTTAGAGAAACTGGCACCCTCATACATTGCTGGTAAAATAGAAGCAGTCCAGCTACCGTGGAAAAGTTTGTTGGTTCCTCAAAAAGTTAAACATAGCATTACCATATAACCCAGAAATTCCACTCCTGGGTATACGCACAAGAGAACTAAAAACAGGTCTTCAAACAAACACTTCAGAGCAGCACATGAACATTCATAGCAGCACTATTCACAACAGCCAAAGGGAAACAACAAAAAAGTCCCATCAACTGAAAAATGGATGAATAAATGTGGTATATGCATATAATGGAATATTATTCAGCCATAAAAAGAAATGGAAGTACTGATACATGCTACGGCATGGAAGAATCTCAAAATATTATGCTAAATGAAAGAAGTCAGACACAAAAGGCCACATTATTATGTGATTCCATTTACATAAAATATCCAAAACCGGTAAGCCCATAGAGACAGAAAGCAAATTAGTAGCTGACAGGAGCTAAAAGGAGAGGGAAATGGGGAATGACTGCTTAATGGGTATGGGGTTTCTCTCTGGGGTGATGACAATGTTTTGGAACTTGATAGACATAATGATTGCACAACACTGTAAATATACTAAATGCCACGGAATCGTACATTTTACAATGGCTATTTTTATGTTATGTTAATTTTACCTCAATTTAAAAACACTTATTTAAAAGGAGCAGCATCACTTTTAAAACATACAGAAATTTTTTTTTTTAAGTAGGCTCCATGCCCAGGATAGAGCCCAAGGCAGGGCTTGAATTCACAACCCTGAGATCAAGACCTGAGCTGAGATCAAGAGTCGGAAGCTTAACCGACTGAGCCACCCCGGCGCCCCAAAGCACTGAGAAATTTTAAAATGATTACCTTATAATTTTCCAAAACTGCTTTTAAGAACTATGACTATGTATATACAATAATGCTTTTGAAACACTTTATACCTTAGTAGTAATGACTTGCCTACTTTATGGCAGATGCATGAAATGTATTATGAATATCATCCATGAGTCTCTAAGAAAATGCACATTATACTTAGTTTGAAAATCAAATACTAGTTACAAACACACAAGTTTATTAGGAGAAAATGTTATAAAATGTTTTAAAAATCACAATTAATAAAGACTTTATGACAATGTAATGATCAGGGAGAAAGAGTACACATGACCATATTTTAATCTTATGAATGTAAAGAAACCAAAACACTGCTGGCGAGGAGGAATAAAAGAAAACACAAAAAGAAAGGGTAAAGGGTAAAGCTCAATGAATAGAAGCAGGTGGGGGTGGAATGGAGAGAAAAGGAATTTCAGAGATAAACTAATTCTACTCCCCGTAATTTGGGACCCAATTGGCTGGAATTCCCCCCAGATAACCCTCCCCCACTGCCTCCTCTTCCCACCCTCAAATAATTAAGCAAAGACTATTTGATTATCAAATTAACTCAATATTTGCTAAATACTCAAGAGTCAATTTTTAAGAAAAAGCCTTTTGTTCTACTGTTTCCCTAATTTACCTTTTTGCCACCGGAGGAGATTTTATCCATCTTTTCAGATTTAAAAGAATCGCCACCTTTTTCTTTGCCTGAAGATTTTGACTTATTTTTTTCCTTGTCTTTCTCATTTGGATAAGGAGACTCACATGGACTTTCACTTTTGTGTTTTGAAACCCCCACTAAAAGTATAAAAGAAAATCATGAAAGCCTTTTCCAGTTCAGTTTGACGACAGCTTTGAAAGCATTAATAAATCTACCTACTTGTTCCATTTTCCTCTTTTCGCCTCTTGGCTAAGTCTGGTGGCACTTCCCGGTCATTGTTTGAATGATCCTAGAACCAAGAATTGTGAACTACATTGATCAAGAGTTTATGTTTTTGTTTTAAAATACTACTTTTATACAAGGGCACAGCTAACTAGCATTGGAGAGTATTGTCAGTCCTTTCACATTGCAAAATGACAAGAAAGACAAGCAGAGCTGGTAGAGATTGTTAGGCTGAATGAAGATCCTTACTACTGTAGAAGATTCAATTCAAACACATTTTAGGGTGAAAATACCAGTTAAAACACCAAATAACAGCCTGCCATGCAACAACCTAGTACTTTAAAAAAGGCAAAAACACACTATCATACACAATATAATGACTTTCCAAACTAGTTTTTAAAAAATTACAAACCCTTTTCCGTTCTTTCCTGTCCTTTTCATCTTTTTTCTCTCTTTCTCTGGATCTTTCCCTCGACTTGTCCAAGTCTTTCTTGTCCATTTCTCTCTCCTTACTCTTGGACAGTGGTGGAGGAGTATGATTAATGTAGAGCTGTTAAATTAAGGCAATATTACTAAAGATTATTAGTTTTCCAGTATCGGCATCATCTGCTTGATTCTTTATTTAATGAAAAGACAATTGGTAGTTAGACCCAAAGTCAAAACTGGTCAGCTGTCTGGATTACAAGAGGTGAAATAAAAGCATGGCACAAATTATGCAAAGACTTCAATTCTTGGCCTTACAAAAATTTTCATTTAAACTCAACCAGTTCATTCGGTCTTGAATGAGACTGAGACTTACTGGAGGCTTTTATAACTCTATTGTAAAGATCTGTAAACACCACTATAGGAGTCCATATGTGAAAAATAATGACTGAACTCTCTTACTGTTAAAAAAAAAAAAAAAGATACAAACCTCTACACAATCAGGAAAATTTTAAATAGTTTTACCATCCACTTACAAGGCAACTGATGACAGTGAGCCAAAGTATAAAATAAAACCTCACCACGACTTTACTAATAAGTCTTCTTTGCCTCAGCATATACCATGCATACATTATCCTAAATTTTTTTTGTAAATATAAAGGCTGCATATTCTCTACTTCTGAAAGCACTCCAATTTCTACCAAATAATCACAATGGACTGCAAAATTTGTCTCACTGGTTCTAAGGAGCTCAGAAAACCATTTGGTCACCTGAGGATGATTAAAAATAAAAACTCAGAGACTGAAAAATGATGAACTGATATCTGCCTATTGTTTCAAAAGGCCCACAGACAATAAACAGCCAAATATCAAGGATGTGCTACCTAAATAATTAAGAGACAACCTTAATAACTTACGCAAGTTGTAAATATGGAAATCTAGTATAAAAGAAAACATTAAGGAAGTAATCAGATACCTATCCTTACAGGATTTATAACTGTGCTACAAGCTTATGTTCAATTTAAGACATTACAAGTAATAGGCAGCAGAATATGAAATATAACTCATTACATTAACTACACAATCCTAGATATACCTTAGGAATGAAAACAAATAGTGAGTCAAAAGCCAAATAGTTTTACATGAGGAAATCCTTTGTATTCAAAGGAATACATTTAAAAAAGACCATCAGTTTGAAAATTAAAGAAACACTTATTTTTTAACACCATCAAATATTTTCAATTCAGTTGGCTGAGAAATACTGCCATAGCAATGCAGAAGTAGATTCTTTAAAATGTCAATGTTTAAAAGTTGATGATCAACTGAAATAGACAAAATGTTTATTAACAACAAAGAGCAAAAGAATGAGAAACAGTCATAAAAGTGCTCGTCCAAATAGTACTCTTGCTGGGTTAATGCCCTATACAACACTTCAAGATTTTCTAATTGTGAGGTTTATTTATATCTTAAGTTAATATTACTTATGAAACTGATAAGACAAAAGAAATAATATATTCCTACAATACGCAAAGATTTCTCTAAGGGAAGTACTGCTTAATTCTCCTGATAAAAGAAAAAAGGGGGTGTGATTACAAATAAGTACACACAAGCATACGCATGCACACACGTGCACATGCACACACACAGTACTCAAGAATGAAGTTTTTAATTGTGCCTAACTTGAATTCTGTATTGCAAGGAATTGAGAAACTTATATATTCTTACTTTAGAAATGTACCTAATTCTATTCATTCTTCCTACCTTTCTAAGAATAGTTCTGATCACAAGACTCTTCCACAGTAACGTGCAATCTCTCACTGCCTACAGAATAAAATGCATACTCCTTAGCTTAGGTACTTCCAACCTCTTCACAATCTTTGTACAATTATATCCTACTATGGGGCAACCCAATGCACTCTATGCTGTGGCTACCACTGACTGGCTCCCTAACACTATCCTTTCCAGCAGTTCTCTTCACCAGAATAGTCACTCACATCTCTCTTAATCTCTTAAAATCCTACTAGCTTTCAAAGACAGCTCAAAAGCCATCAGCACTTCAATTGTCTCTGAACTCTGCAACTCACTTTCAACTCACTTTCTGGTGCATTCCTATATTTATTATTTTATATTAACCTTTTTTTTGTGACAGGCATTTTCTATTAATTTCATGTCACTTATATTTGTCCATAACAGTTTCCAGTATGGCATGGAAGCTTGTTTTTTCTACTTTAACACACTTCCTAGTGCCTTATACACAACCGAGTACTCAATACACGTTTGCCAAACAAAATGAATGATTTGTTAAATTGATCGGCATATAATGTTGATGGATTTTGCTTTTGATTTGCTTTTATTCTTAACATTGGGATCAATAAGTCCAAAAACATGACTGATTTTCAAAATCTGTTAACACTACTATACCGACTTTATTAAAGCTACAGTATATAAAGATGGTCTCACTTGTAGGTTTCCATTTGATTGTAAATCCTTGTTTTAAGATGATGAACAGAATTAAAACCTGAATTGTTTCAAGTGGTCACTGTTGCTCTCCTCAATTACAGAGAGGCATGGGTAAAGGAAAATGCTTTTCACACTTCCTTCATCAAATGTAGCTTCTAGGTTTGCTAGTTGAATACATGAGTGACCAAACTGGAAATACGCCAATTGGAAATTGGGGGTGGAAGGCACACAGACAGAAAAGATTTGGATATTAAGCTAGATTTTTCTCCCGTTAACAAATCCCACTTGAAAGGCTAAATCTACGTATTACTTTTACCATGGATTAGAAAGTGAAAATAATAATGTAATAAAAAAAAGATCCCAGGGAAAAAGCATTAACTAAAAAATTAAAGCATAGAAACAATTTTATATGTACAATTGACAACAGAACATGAAAAAAAATAGACACAGATCATTCAAATCCTCTAAAAAGTAAAAGCTACCCCAGAAACAGTGAGGGATATAGATTGTCAATTTTAAAGATCACTCAAAGTCTGGTAATGTTTTTTTTCCTAAGACATTCATATGCTATTGAACCTTCCTAGACATATAAAAATGCAGACCAGTAATCTGTGGATACTTTACCAAACTCCAAAGGCTTAAGAGTTCATTTCAAATAGTTGTAACACCTAATCATATCACCGAGTTAACTATACTGAGCCCTAAGGATCTGAAAAGTGGTATGAATCACATGATTTTTACAAGTGCATTCAGTGCCATTTTCAAAAATTTCTGGCTGAATGTGGAATAAGTCTACTGAATTTTAAATACCAGAAAATCACTATCTTTTTTCAAAGGGGGAATAAAGAGACTGACTTAAAACATTATAATTTTAAAAACAAGGCAAACACACTAAAGGAGTTAGGAACCCGTTCCAACTACTGCTGAAATGGGTGCTAAGAATCAAGGGACCACGGCGCCTGGGTGGCTCAGTGGGTTAAAGCCTCTGCCTTTGGCTTAGGTCATGATCCCAGGGTCCTGAGATGGAGCCCTGCATCAGGCTTTCTACTCAGCAGGGAGCCTGCTTCCTCCTCTCTCTGACTGTCTCTCTGCCTACTTGTGATCTTTGTCTGTCAAATAAATAAATAAAATCTTAAAAAAAAAAAAGAATCAAGGAACCATACATTTTTTTGCAATTTTTTTTTTCATTCTGGTAAGAATACTTGAGGAACCTTAATTTCAGTCCAAGTTTTGGTACTACAAACAAGTTATGTGCCACTGGGAAAAGATCAAGAACTTTTTTAGTTTCTTATTTGTCCAAAAGACACTACCCTCCTGCCCTATCTACCTCACAGCACTGTTACGAGCATGAAATGAAATAACGTGTTTATCTCACATGTTTTATTTTCAAAAGGCTTTCACAAATGTAAGAAACCATAATTTCCATCACTGATGAGAAATTCCAGTTAACTGTAACAGCAGGTTTCAAACTGCTTCAAAGTATGTTTCAGGAAATAAATACTCCCCAGGTAACATTGTTAACCCATGAATTTAAAATAGCCCATACAAGCCACTGATGTTTAAAACTGACATACACAATCCCAAACTGGTTATGAAAACCAACTGTATTGCAATACATACTTAATTTAGCCAATAAAAAGTTTTACTTTAAAAGAAAGCATTCACACAGTACAGCTAATACTCTTTTGATTAATACAGTATATTCTAAAAACAATGCTACAATTCCAGGACAAAGGCACATTAGCTAACCTAAACTATTGAAAAATTAGTGCTTATTGCCCAATATCCACAGACATTTCATTATAAAACTACAGATCTAAAAGCAGTTTGTAATGTCAACTGCCTTCGTTTCAAAATTTCATTTTGTATTGGTTCACCAGGAAGAGATAATACTTAGCAGATATAAGAGGAGGCAAAGTAGAAAATCAAAGTGAAAGAAGGTACAAATTTCATAATAAGTAGACAAAATAACATGAACAATGGACAATTCAACTACAATAATGAGGTGAACTCTGTAATAAGATACACAAACTGCACATTATTTTTAGAAGAAGAATACTCAAGAAAGTAGAGTAATAGGCAAGAATTAATACTGGCATGTAAACACGATCATCAAGTTGAGTATTCCCCGCCAAGAGAATGATTAGTTGACATTAACCCGATTTCTTAATATTCTGCTACAACTACCAAAAAGGTAGCTCAGCAGAGGCAAGAGAAAGAGTTTTATGGATTGAGATGGGCTCAGTTTTTAGAACAGTATGTGAATGCATCAAATTTCTTTTCTGGTCTTTTGGGTTGTCTAAAAAAGTCAGAAAACAACCTGACAGATTTGTTTCGAGAAATTAAATAAGCTTACTCCCCAAAACAAACCAACAGCCCCTTCCCCAAACCTTAAACTTATTTCCAGATTTTGAAGCATAAAAAGATAATGCATTACACAGCAAGCAAAGAGAGATTATAGAAATATTGCCACATTACACGCATTTGGTAACAATCTCCTTAAAAGGGACCGCTGTCATCCATTGTTTCAGTTTGTGATAGGTATTTTAAAGGTTATTCACTAGCTTACTGAATTTACTAGGGTGAAGGTATCTATTAAATAAATGAAGAATTTTTTTTTTGTTTTACTTAGGCATGATGATTTTAAAAGACTCAAACCTTTGCTGAAGACTCCTTGAGTTCGATGAGACTGTCCTGTAGAAAATGAATGGAGATGACAGGTGAGCTGGCATAGTTCTCAGAACCCAGAGGAACTTTGGGAAGTATGGCTGTAACCTGGAAATAAACCAGCTACTTCTTGTGAGGATAAATCTTGTGATGTCAATTATTATATGAATATCAACAACAGAAAACAAAAGCAAAACCATGTAATGGAACTGTAATGTTAAAAAAACTAAATTATATGTACTCAACGTAACAAATAAAAATCTCTGTGCTCATAATTTAAAGATAAATGTCAATGCCACATTTTTCATAACACAGTACTTAGGCTATAAGTAATGTTAAGAGGCTTTAGAAAGCAAAACACTTTTTTCCCTCCACAGAAAGTTTAAAACAGTGGAGGTCACTGTGGAAGAACATTATCTTACATTTTCATAGTTGTTCTTTAATTGGGAGGTTTCAAATTTTACTTATGACTCTACCATAAATATACATGTTTAATCCTAGCCAAAAGACTTAGTGGCATTATATTAACAAGAAAACAAAATGTATTCTCTACAAGAGTAGTCACTTTTTTGCAAAGTGCCTCTGATGGTGAATCTCATGCCTCCCACAAAAAAAGCACTTTAAAAAAAGAAAGAAAGAAAAAGAAATCAATTACGGTATTTCACCACAGTGCTCTTGATGAAGAATTAGTTAACTTACAGTTTTAAAAGTTCAACGTACTGCAAATTCAAAGATTCCATGAAATTAGATGACTTTAGAATTAAAATTAAATATGGAGCAAGGAATGGCTACCCTGAGTCTTCAAGAAGGCTACACCCACGATTTTGTGCTGCAGTTGAATGCCTGGGGTTTCTCTTTGCTGGGTGGTAGGATTGGATGCCACATCTGCTTTTATCGTAACGCAAGGTTCAACTTGTTGGGAACCCAATGGGTATAAACAAACCTCCAAGGGAAGATACAACAGAAGCTGCATGCTCACTGAATATACACAACTACAGGAGAACTGATCACCAAGGAGACTTTAAAATGGAACGCCTTTCAAGATTCCTTCTTAGAAGGCACACATCGGTATGATGCTCATCAAGAAGCTTGATGAATTCAGAGGTATCTTGTTTATCCTGTATCATCCAGGAAGTCTTCAGTGCTATATATTCTTCAATATTTATGCTGAAAAATAGGCTTCATTCTGCTGAAAAGATTCATTTGCTTGTAGCTACCATTGCACTCCAAAAAAGACTGCTTAAAGCAGTGAGGCACTTCTGGGTAAAATTTTTCTTGCACTTTGAAACACTACAAAATTAGTGCTAGGTCCTTGAAGTTTTAATATTTTTATAATAAAAATACTCAATAGGAAAAAATATCAGTCCACCAATATGTAAAAAATTCATTTTCTAATGCAATATAAAACCTCCAGTGGCTCCAGTGAATACTTGGCACAAGACTTGAAGGAAGTCAGGACACGTATTCCAACCAGGTGAGCCTAACATGGACGCTGCCTTCCTCAGGCTATACTAACCTTTACTGTTGAGGAATGTGATGGAGAAGGGTGGGTATCAATTTTGCGGCGTTTTTGTTCTGTTGGTACAAAAACAAATGGTCACAGTAAGATAGTGTTCTACTTTTCCAAGCACTTAAAAAAAAAACCACCATTTAAAAAATCACCTTTAAGGTCAACAAGTATCCGCTCCCCCCACCAAGTAAAGTCCCTAGATAACTTGCCAAAACAAGGAGACAAGAACCAACTATACATTAACAAGAACCAAAAGTAAACAAATATAAATAAAGGCAAACTTGCCCCTTTCAGGCTCTGCAACATCTGATCGGGGAACAGGTGACTTCAAGGACCCAGAAACTGGTGTTTTTTCTCCTCCTTTAACATTTTCCTTTGATTTCATTTCCTTTGCTATATCTCTTTCTCTGGATGGCTCCTTCTCTCTTTCCTTTTCTTGAATCGATTTTGATTCTACATTGGGGACAGTGGTTTTGAATTTCTCATCTTTGGCTTTTTCTTCCTTCTTGAATTTTTCTTTCTCTTTGTCAGACTTAGGTGTTCTTTCCTTCGTCTCTCTTGCTTTTTCGTCTTTGTTTGGCCGCTCTTCCTTCGGTTTTTCTTTACCATCTTTACCAAGTACCCTGGCCTCTGGAGTAGTAGCTGGAGTCTTTTCTTTTTTCTCTTTTTCTTTCTCTTTCCCTTTTTCTTTGTCATTTTCTTTAACAGCTTTGCTGCTTAAGAATAAAAACATGAGATTTTAAGACAAACTGTCATAAAACATAGTCCATGTTACAAATTAGAAAGGGTTTCTTACCGACTTCGAAAATACTAGAAGAGTAGCCCTTTGAAAACTAAAGGACTTTAAAGACAAGTGAAAAGAAAGTACTACTTTTTTTTATTTTTAGGAAATACTTCTTTATTCAGTAAATAATAAATGACCAAATTCATGAACAGCAGATTAAAAAAGAATGATTAAAATGATGTCAGGCCATTTTCCATATGTTCATAACCTCTGAGGATTACTAGGTCACAACCAAAAATTATCCCACAAGCCGACCAAGGGTGCTAATATCAGAAGCAGGATTACTTGGCTGGATGGATCACTGGTCGAAATCAGTGTAGGCGTCTCTTATGTTCATTATCCTTACCCAGAATGCCCACGGCAAGCACTCAATCCTAAAATGTATTTCTAACTTCACCACTTACCTTCACCTGCGTAACTCAGCAGGGGAAACAATGTCAGTCTCAGCATTATATAAAACATAAGGAGGGCAGTTAAGCGCATCATCAAATTAGGGGTACATATAAAATTTCAAGGTCCAACATAAATGACTTTCATAGTATTCAAATACCAGCCTCTTTCATTCATGTCTAATGAGGTTAATCATATATGAATTCAGAATTCTGACATACAGTCAGTGTCCCTACCTGTTAGAGCTACTGTTTCCATTGCTTGAATTCCCTTTCGGTGTGGCACTAGAAGCTTTATTAACAGCTTTCACACCACACTGAGATCTCTCCCTTGATTTATCTGAAATAAAGTAAAGTTTTATTTGACAAGCCCCTAAATGTAAATAAACTACAATTTCACAGCAAAACGATTAGAGATTAATTAGAAAGAAACAAAGGGCTAATTTCTTCTTGACAGTTATATACTTCTACCTAAGGAATAAACTATAATACTAGCCAGCATTTTATTTGTCATGTGATATAAAACATCTTAGGTTTGTTGAAACAAAGCATATTTACTTATAAATTTCTACAAATAAGCGTACCAGTCTCCTCAGTACTGCTTTCATCCGACTTAGATGCACTTCCTATCGACGATGAAGAAGGCCCACCACCAGGCCCATTTTGTACACTGGCAACTGCATTCCTCGGAGGGGGGTCTTTGTGATGAAACTCATTTTCAGGTATCATGTATGACTTTCTACTTTTCAACTGCCCAGAGTAGCTGAAAGTCGCACAAAGTGTTTAAATATACAAATACAAATCAAAAGCACAAACTGGAGTTTAAAAGAATAAAACTAGCAAGTTATTCACTCTGCTACTTCATTTCAGAGAATAAAAAAATACTAATTTTCAATAAGTTTCTGAAGGTCTTTACAGAGAGCCCCAGGTGCTTTCTTAAAAAATAAAAGTTTCAATGTAAACTAATCCTTAAACTAAGATGTCTTTTTTCCACTACTGAAGATCCAAAACTCAACTGACGATAAAATTACATTTCCTCCAAACCAAGACATATTGTATATGACTTTTGAAACTATCATCCAGTATAGACCGGAAGCTGATAATCAGAAGTGACAACTCTCACCAGCCTGTGGGAACATGATCGCATAATCTCCCATAATCTCCTGAAGTAAGGCAGAAGATAAACTTCAACACTGTAAAACATTTTAGAGTCTTCAGAATCCTTCTGTCATCTAGTCTCATAAATCACATTAAAGTATAATTGTGTTACCCCATAGCCAATGCATATAGATCTGGCCTCTTCTCTTTTTCTTCTTGGCAGATTTTATGCACTCTTCTTTCCAAAGCCTGACCCAAATTCAAAACTTTTGGGTACCAAGGAAGTATTTTTGTTAGCACAATCAAGATATTCCTGATGTGAGTATATTCGCCTGTTTCAAGGCAATGTACGGATGCCTACAACAAACATTTTAAGATCTATTATTATAAAAGTAAGTATAAAGAGAAAAACAACCTTTAAGAAACATAATTTTTTTTACCTTGGTTAGTTTGTAATGCCATTTATGTACAACATGTCGAAAATTTTCATAGTCTAACTGGTCAGCTTTATTTCCACCATCAAATCCAGTGGCCCGCAATATAGTTAGGAATCCTGGATAATTTCCACATTCCTTGAAAATAAAAGGGGGTTGTTAAAGAAAAATTCTGCTCCTAAACTAGCAGAAGGTAAAAACTTAAGTGGACTAGATTAATGATTCCACACAAAAACAAGATGTATATTTGAATGACAGGTAGTTTTCACAGAAAAGTTCAGTTTATTTAATGGTATGAATTTGCAATGTCAGTTTGAGATAGATTTTTTTTATATCTATCACCTTTTAATAATGAATGAATGATGTTTAAATTTTAAACACTGTTTTACAACTGAATCTTAAACTCCGCTTCCCTTTCAGAACTGAACAACCTAAAGATTACATGGGTAAAATGTAAGGGTGTTTATTAACCATACCTTTTCATACGTGGCTCTGTCACTATGCCACCTGGTCACAGTCTCTAACATGCAGCAAAGAAATCTCCCATATCGACTAGCTTCATTTTCGGTACAGCTTGCAACTGTGTAAATTATATCAGAGAAAACCTACAGGAAGAATGTTTGAAAAATAAAAACAAATCAAGGTCAAAATTAGTTCAAAATAGTAAAACATTGTTATAGCAAATCATAGTAAATTAAACAGGTTAGTTTAGTCAAAATGTATCTTCCCTTTCTATAGTCACAATTCCAGAAACCTTTAGAGATTTTGGCCTTTGTGAGGAAATAGCACATTCATAAAGCAACAACAAACTTTTATTTTAAAAAAACTGATTTACAATGACAGTGGAAAAAACTATCATTATTATTACAACACAACTTCTTCAACGAAGACTTAGCCATAGATATTACTGGAGTTAGGAGGACAGTAAGCAGAGACGAGGCTGACAGAAACTAGAAATAGGCAGCTGACATGCTATGACATATACTACATTTTTAAACCTCAAATGCAGTCATTTACTATTAAGAAAAAAGCCAGACGCAAAAATACATAAATGTGATTATACTGAAAAGCATCCCTGCTTTTATGTATGTGCGAAGGTATAAGCTGTTTTGTTTTTTGAGGGGGAGAAGGTGAAGGTTAAGAAAAGAGTTCTATTATGACAAACATATAAACCCATATTATGAGTTAAAAGATTAACTAGGAGTGCCTACTACATGGCCGGCACTATTCAAAGCACTTTTGTGTACAGTGACCCGTTTAATCCTCACAACAATCTTGTGAAGCAAGTACTATTATCCCATTTTACAGGTAAGAAAACTGAGGCACAGAGAGGTTAAAAAACTTGCCAAAGATCATATAGCTAAAAAGTAGCAGAGCTAGGATTCAAGTTCAGGCACTTGGCTCTTGAGTTCATGCTTTTAACCACACACACAATTAATACCTCTATGGATTATAATGTTTAGCTATCTTTGTGTGAGACTTTTTTTTTAAGGTTGCAATAAAAAGAACTTACTCGATCATAGCAAAGAAGTGTGGAAAAATTTGGAGTTTTCTGTTGATGTACCAATTCAACAAAACGAGCACAGTAAACAGCATCAATTGCTGAAAAAATACATCGAGGAAATATACACAGCTGTAGAAATTTTGTGATGGTCTCATTTTTGGTAGATTCTAAAAATAAGGGAAGAATATATTAAGTGGTAAACTTCTTCCTCAAGTGCCTCAAGACCTCTAAACATGACAACATATTAATTTTAGTGTAGAGAATGCTATAAAAAAAAACCCACAAACTCTTTATAGTTTGTAACCAAAAGGTCATGCTTGGAATAAAACTTTCATTTTCACACTATGGGCATAAATTTTCTATCTATAACTTCTCCAGAAACATGATTTCATACAGAAAGGTTGGATGATAAATTGCTAATATTGTAGTTATAAGTTAATTTCACCCACAAACTAAATTAGTTCCTTCAGTGAACATGTGAGGTTGACTCTGCATTAATGAATAACCAAAGAATGGGACAGTGAACACTGAGCTGAAATACAAACATAATACACTTCAATACCTCTGAGGTTTGCTTTTGTAATTTGGCAGTAGTATGAATGTAACAGTTCCAACAACTTACTTGCTAAAAGCCAGTTGTCCTTTTCCAGTTTCAGTCTCTGTAGAACTCGCTGTACATGTTCCATCTGCTTCTTTTCTTCTTCAAGAAGCTTGTCCTGAAGGGCAGTACAACGCTCTTTCTCTTTTTTCTTTTTATTTGGAGGCTACGAAGTATAAGTTAGATACTTTTCTAACTACACGCACATTACCTCCCTTCCTTTTAATTAAAAAATTCAGAAAGATCAGTGCTGGTATTTTATATTAACTACTTCACAGGGATATTGAGGAGTCCACCTGAATGTGCTTTCACCACCATTCAACAAATCCAAAATCTGGTTTTCACATCAAAACAGGCTACCTTCCTAGCACTGCTACTTTTAGTCTCAAGCATCAAGTCATCTTTGACTCTTCCTTCTCCTTCATTTCAGCATCCCAACTGCTTAAAAGTCTCATGCATTCCTACTACCTCCACCAATAGTCTATGTTCTCAGTACTTCACAATGAATTACCCTAAGAGTTACCTAGCTGGACTCCAGCCTGATGCCAGTCCCTTCCCCTAACAAATGCATCTTTCAAGCCACTGTCAAGGGTAATCTTTCCAATATACCGTTTTTTACCATTATCATTTCCCTGCAGAGGAATCTAATACAGCTCCCAATTTTATCAAGTCTTCTTTTCTATACTCTGGTTTCTCTTCAGATTGCATAAATCTTTCGCCTTTTACTAAAGTCTTCTTTTCTAACTTTAACTGCTCTACATAATCTGGTCCCACCCTAACCATTCAAATTTATCACTAAGCCCATTCACTACAGTAAAAGTGGTCTCTTAAAAACCTTAAATTACTTCACACCTTTGCTAGAGCTGAGCGGCCAATATGCCTCTTTATTTCCAAACCTAATCTATCTTCAAAGCCTATCCAGCTCAAGACTCACCTCTTCAATAAATCCTTCTCCTACTGTTCTTGCAATTGGGAGTCCCATGGATCGTTTTAAGTTGCTAACACAGTCCTCAGTTAGAAAAAAAAGGGCAAACTCAAATACCTTTTGTGTGATCATAACTGCCACATATTCACCAAGCCCCTGCCCACACCCACTCAGAGGTCACCATTAACTCACTTAGGAAAATACTATATAGCAATAAGATCATAGCTTTAAGGAACCTGAACTAATACAAAGCATGGGTAATGTCAACTTAATACCATGAAATTACTGTACTTGAGCTACTAGAGCCACCTACCATTTCCTGATTGTCATCAATTGCTTTCATCTGGACTTTAAGTTTATTGACTTCCCGTTCATAGCTGGTGTGTGGAACTGCAAGGTCGTACATTGTCAATGACCAGAATGTGGCATAGAACTGAGGACTGATGTCATCCCAAACTTTGGAAACATGTAAGGAGACCACTGCTTCATGGACAGGAGCCATCACCATTTCACATGATGTAATGTACTTATGAACTTTATGTTGCTGTTTACTTCCCTTTTCTGACTTTTTAAGTTCATCATATTTAGACTGGAGATAAAAAGTAAAAACAAACACAACACAATTTATTGCACTAACCTTCATAGTATAAAAGCCTATGTTCCCTTTTCGAGAATCAGAAGACAACCAATCAAAACTGTTGTAAGAATTCGAAGTTCTTACCAATGACATTTATTTTAAGATAAATCAACCCTGGAAGCTGTTCTCATCTTTAGTCCTATGTGCTCACTAGGAGCTTTTAAGAAGATTCTTATTAAATCTGACCTGTTGCATAATAAATAGAGTATGTGTACCCCCCTCCACCAACCATATCCCCAACTGTACTCTCTCTTACTACCACGACAAGGATTGAACATACAGGGTTTCCACTCCTGCTTTTAAAATCTTCAAGGACACCAAGTAAAGGGTCTTAACACTGGTAAAGAGGCATAATGGAACTAGTAACAGCCAATCAGCACAAGATGCTTTACTACTACACATAGCCCTTATTGGCCACTATAATTTGTCAATTAAGAAAGTGGGTCAGGAAAAAAAAAAGAAAGAAAGTGGATCAGGGGTGCCCGGATGGCTCAGTCAGTGGAACGTGCAATTATTGATCTCAGGGTTGTGAGCTCAAACCCCACGTTGGGTGTAGAAATTACTTAAAAAATAAAATCTTTAAAAAAAAGAGTGAGAAAGAAATTGGATCAACATTAAGAAAGGCTATGAGAAAGTTACTATAAGACTGCTAAGTAGGGTGACTGACTATCCAGGTTTGCCAGTGAATGAGGGGACTCCCAGCATGTAAGAGTATAGTGCCAAAACTGGCAAAGTCTCAAGCAAACTAGGACGAACTGGTTACCCTACTGCTAAGCTAAGTAAGACCTTCTTCTTTTTTTTTTTTAAGATTTTGTTTATTTGAGAGAGTGAGCATGCACGAGAGAGAGCAAAGGCAGTGGGAGGGGCAAGAGAGAAAGGGGAAAACAGACTCTCCACCAAGCAAGGAGAGCCCAACATAGGGTTCAATTCCAGGACGCTAGAATCACGACCTGAACTGAAGGCTGATACTTAACCAGCTGAGCCACCCAGGCGTCCCTAAGTAAGACTCTCTATGAATGGATATGGTATGTTAGAGTTTAAAGCATGTGGGAATTGACATGCAGCTTTTTTAGACCAGACTGGTTTATCCTATCTTGGAAGAGAGTCGGAGGAAGGCCATACTCTTGAGAGTATGAGGAAAAGAATCTGTTAGTACAATGGGAGGGAGCTACCTATTAGTTCATAGAGTATAACACCAAATGTAAAAAAGAAAATAATACAAAGTCTTGTTGCTATTGTCTCATGTCCTTCAGTCTCTTTAGGATGAAAATTTTGTTTGGGTTAGGCATCATCCCTGAAGAAGAGCCTAAGAGGAGAACTAAAACTCACTTCTTTTTTTAGAAAAGCATTTAAATCATCACAGTTTGTGCTACACATGGAACCCAGAACTAGAAGGTCACAGGTCAAAGGTTCCACTTCCAGTTCTGCATTATGGTAGGCAAGATTCTTGGCTCCTTACACTCCACCTGTCTTCCCTCCTAAGTGCCTCTGTAACCCAGGCTAACTGGACTGAAGATATACCAAGTACTTTGTTTCAGAGGGTATCTTAAGCAGCATCTTACAATTATTGTAACTACAATCTGAGAATCTCTCAATTTTTCTGTAAGTGGGAAGATTTACCTTGTTACCCCCATTTTAGAGAGCATGCTGATAATTACGGAGACCAAACAGGTGAAAAACTACAAACAATATTACTTATGAGAGAGAGGTCCCAGTTACATCACAGACCTGAGAGATTAGCAGCAAGAATAAGGAAGTGGTTTTGCACTTTGAGGGCAGGTCCTGTCGATGGTAACCAGTATCAATCTATGTGAGGCAGAATGACATCTGCTAAGATTCTAATAAAACAAAGGATAAGCAGAACCGAAACTACCTGTATAGGACAGCTTAACTACCTAATTCGGGCAAGATCTAGAACATGAACTGGAGGAAAGCCTTTCTTTCAGAACTGTGTTACATGGTGGGTCTCAACAACAGAACTGAAAATTAGGTTTACAGGTACGTGAGGGTAATGATGTGGTAAAACAGCCCCCATATCCCCAGTCCTTGGGTTCTGAATTTGTCACTTTTATTGCTAGGTACTGATCTAGTCCCTATCTAGTTAAAAAAAAAATTAGGCTTGATCAGAAAAGACAACTATACTTCACATTTAACTAGGATGAATAGTTCCTGATCTAAAGTTAGTTGAACTCCCTCTTCAAGCTTACACTTTAAGTCAAATGGAGAGGCGTAACAGCTCTATTTCTCAAGTCACCCAGTGCACTACATCAATGAAACAGAACTGATATCCAGTTATTGCTATATTTCTAATTCCTGTTCAAAAAGCTCTTGTTGGCCCAATAACCTGAACAGTGTGTGGCTGGCTGAATTATTCCCATTGAGAGCCTACTCAATTTATCAATTTATGGAAGGTCCTAACAGTCCTCCAATACTCATACCCTCTCATCAAAGGCTCTTCAAGAGAGGCTCTCACCCAAGAAGAAAAAGCAAGGATCCCCAGGAAGTCTGGGTGTCCATCCAGTGCAACCAAGGTTGCCAAAGAACTCCTTTTCCAGAGGGTGTTATGGGGCCTATTGGTAACAGACTTACCCCTGATTTGGCTATATAGTCACCTCTATAGAGTTCTTTGTTTTCCTCTGCAACCCTGAGTGGGAAATGACATTTCTTTGTTTAGATTTTTGTATCTCTTAAATGACAAAGACACAATATTTTACAAAGGCTATAGAAAAGGTAGTTATTGGTATGAATGACCTACTCTGTTCCTGACCTGGAAAAATTCAGGCAACCAGGTGTTCCTGTTTGCTAGGCTTCAATATCACTGATTAGTGTATTCACTTCTCAGTAACGCACAGGGCAGGTCAGAATTCCTGAAATGAAGCAACTCTCCCACCTCAGTCCTTCAAGAAATCAGGTCCCCTGCCTGCTGTATAGCTGAGACTTATCTACTGAAGGGTCGGGTGACAATGCAAGACATAACTACACGAAGAGAGCACACAATTTTCTGGATTGAAAGATTCTAAAGGTGGTGAAAGAGCCCTAATACTACCCCCACCCCGTCCCCTTTTCCCTTCTAGAGAATATAGCATGGTATTGCTGTGTAAGGCTAATCAAGTGATAATTAAATCAATTAACAGTTACTTGTTAGAGGGAAGTGTGACACTGTAGCAGCTGATATGTAAACACTAACAGCTGATGGTCAATTAAATGATCAATTAGACCCCAAATTTCTCAGTCACTTTTTTCCACACCTCTACTACACAACCCTACGTTCCTACTGAGAACAAAGAAGGGATCCTAGTTTAAGAGAAAGGACCAAGATCTTCCCCCTAGAATCTGTAGTGAAAGCCTTCCTTGAGCAGTACAGACTTAAAACCATTAACAAATAAACAGAAGGGCCAGAATTCAAGCCTACACAAAGATAAAGAATATGCTGGGGCTCCAGTCAGAATGGAGAAGTACTATAGTTTCCGAACACAGGCCTGACTGTGGTCTGAAGGAAAAGGAAGAGTCGATTCCCATTAGAGGTCACTGCTTTGCAGGCAGGAATCCAGGTGGCAGTTAGAGAAGAAGAGGGAGGGCAGTCTCCTCTTGCCCCAACCATCCTTACAGTCAGTACTGGGATGCCCTACTTGGGAAGACTCTGGTTTGCTTCTGTGCTTTCCTCTTTTTAGTTGTCTCATTTAGGTGGAGAGAAATAAAACAAGAACTAAGAATACCTCTCTGAGAAGTTACACAACACAGCCTACAAGAGTTTTTAGAGTGTTTGGGGATGGTTAGGTCTGTCTTTCTCAAGGTAGTATGAATAGCAAGTCAACTGACAGGGATATTATTCCTGAGGAAAGAGGATTTTCTGTATTCAATAGGAGTTTTTTGCAGAGTCACCAACCATATTTTCCTCCATCAGAATCAATTAGCACTTGTTAAAAAATAAGCAAAAACAAAAACAAAACAAATTCCCAGGTACTACTAAAGGTTACTACATTAGAATCTAGGGACAGGGGATTGAGGGGATTGAGTCTCAAAGATGCTTTGCTGGTGACTCACATCTATATTAAGGTTTGACTGCTACAGTTCTACAGGGCCCTTAAGATATCAACCTGGACAACTGGTGGTATAGTACTAGTAAGACTTACTTTTAAAGGGAGCATTTTCATTGTACACTGTTCAGAGATGAGTACTAACAAAAGAATAACTCTCTAAGAGACATAATCTGTATCTGTGTCAAACTAAAATACATTTACAGTTAAGAAATAATTCAGAATCATTCTTGAATGGCAGCAAAGACACTTACCGAAATATGGTGTGCATACATTGGCCTAGACAGGAAAAATGCTGCATCATGGGGTGTATGAAATTCATTACAGAGCACATCAATTGAAGGCACTCGCTTTATATAATCTTCTGTGCTTAGATTAGATGCTAAAAATCCACCGAACTGTACCAGGGTATCATGACACTAAATTTAAAAAATAAGACAAAAAAACACAAATGTGCTACCATTTTATGAAACCAATATAAAAATTTTCCAAAATGATTATAATGTCATTTTAAATGTATTTTGATTAACATTTAAGAATTCAAATTTTACAACTTAAAAGAACTTTAGAGACAATCAATAAACATCATCATGTAATCATATTACCAAATAAGATGTGAAGGCCCTGAAAAGCTGATCAATCTAAGGCTTTAATAGTCAACAAATTCTCAAGTTCCAAGTTATTGTTCATCACTTTTAGTAACAGGATATATTTACCCTACATCACATACAACAATTTTATGTATACAGAATTTCCTTGCCCTTAAAAGAGGAAAACTTCATTTATAAAATATATGGGATCTTTTTTCCCTTGTAATATAGTTGGTGATAAACATATTTTGTAAGCTAATCACAGGTTTTACTGCTTAATATTTATGGATATATATTATAAAGATCACATCTACTTTGTTCTGATTGAAATTTCAGATTTCCGGAGATCAGAAAAGATATGAAGAGCAAACTAACAACTTGAAGTTAACCACTTAACTAGTAGTTAACTAGTAGTTAACTAGTACTACATCTCCTAGAGTCTTCTCTTAAATACCGTAATATGCACAGAAATAGCCCCTATTTCCAGAATGTCTAGTTTACATTAGAGCTGTTTCACATTCATCTGATGTCCAAAATGACATTTTAAAAATTTTATCCCATTCCATCTTTTCCATTATCAGGATAAAAAAAAAATCCACATAAACACAAAAGCCACTTTAACTTGCCTGATCATAGAGTTTTCCCACAAGTTTCAAATGTTTCTCTCCACCTTCTTGGAAAATTACTCCATTCCTCTGCTGAGCCATAAGCAAACAGAGAGGAAGAGCAAGATCATGGTCCAATAGTGCGTCCTTTAATCTCTGGGAGGATTTTTTAGTGTTTCTTATCTGGCCAAAATAACCACCCTACATAAGAGAAGACATAAATTTACCAGTGCACACTGCATTAAAATACGCTTTCTGATTTGAAAAAGACCCAGAAAAGGCTCAGTTACAATCCTGAAGATAAAAAACTTTACATTCCTTCCCTTTCTTCACAAATTTATTTTAGTGATACTGTTGTTGATTACAGTCACTAGCTTAAAGATAACTGTCAACTGTCTTTCAACTTCTGCATATTTTCCATTTTCCACCTTGCAGTCCCTCATAAAGGATTATTCTTTATTTGGTATGGAACAGATTCAACAACAGAATAACTATATTCAGCTTTACACCAGTTAGGATATCAAGGACCACAGAAGACTTGATATTTACTTCTCTTACAGATTTAACACTGTCTTTTACACTTTGTTTCAGCTTTTTGAAAGGGTTAAAGTCACTAGTATATCTCAATTTTTGAAAGGGAGGTGAGGGCAGTCATGAGGGAAGGGTACATATGACTTTGACATTTGGTTTCATGTACTTGTGTGTTGTCTGGAGTCTTTAGTATGAGCATGCGTATATCTGAAACTTAAAAAGTCAATTAAAAAAATTAGTAACTCTCACCTCAGCTTTTAATTGCTCTCCACCAGTCATGGCTTCTAGTTGCTCCATCGTCATTTCCTCTGTAATTTCTATTCCTGCCATTTTTTGTACCACTTCTTTCAATATAAGCAGGTCAAAACTATTTAGAAAAAATAAGAAACAGTCTGTAGTTGAAACTTCAAACATAAAAGTGACAATATATACTATAATTAGTATGTTGAGAATCCCTAAATTATTTGTATATAAATATGAGGAGAAGGGGCTGGAGTAGTCAAGGAAAAACTGCATTTCCAGAACTATAATGAAAAATATTTGGGGCATGTAATCGGTTTATGCTTACTTTAACTTTTTCCTTGGGAATAATTTCAAACTTACAGGTAAGATGTAAAGACAGAAAATAGTACAAAGCACATCCATATGCCCTTTACCCCAACCTCGCCTATTACTAACATTCTTACTCCTGTTCACGTTATCATTTGTGTTTTCTCTCCCTCCCTCCCTTTCTACACACACACACACACACTTTTTTTTCTTAACCATTTGGGAGTAACTTATGTAGTAAGCAACATCATTTTAAAGGCACATTTTACCCCTAAAATTCCAAAGGATGTATTTCCTAAGAATGAATTTCCTAAGAATATAATCTCTTAACATAACCACAGCATAGTTACCAACTTCAGTAAACCTAACACTGATATAATACTTTATTGTTCATATTTCATTTTTATCAGTTTTCCCAATAGTCCTTCACAAAATTCTTTTAATGTTTTTCACTTTTTAAATTCAAGTATAATAAACATAGTTTATATTAGTTTTAGTCAGGTACAACATAGTGATTCAACAATTCCATGCATTATTCAGTGTTCATCGTGGTTTAAGTGAACTCTTATTCCCCTTCACTTCTTCATAGTGTTTTTTTTATCCTCCAGTACAAGGTAGCCAATACATATATATGATGGTATAAAGCCATCTCTCTAAATAATCACACACACTTGGAAGGGATGGAGGGAGTGAGGGAGTGGAGAAAGAAAAGGAAGGGAATGGAAGTTCCAAGTTGTGGTGTATGAACCTAAGACAACAGCCTTAAGAACATCTGTTATTGTGCTAATAGTTATGCATTTTAATTCTTAAAGTTTAGAACTGTCAATGAAAATAATTTATGACTTTCAAGATCTTCTTTAATTAGTTAAGTAATGAAGATAAAGTAGAAACCTTCTTTCCTACAAAACAAATACAGATGTTTTTCCAAAGGTAAAGCCAGACATACCCAAGACACAAGTTAATAACAGACAAAAGGCACAGTTTTTGAAGATTCTTAAGTGCTTACTCTTTCACCTTGTCTGCCTTCCCTAAACATAGTTTATGAAAATGAGAGCCTTCATGCAAATTAGTTTGCAACAAGTACCCAAAAAAGTTTTTAATTTTTCTTTAAACTATCTTTTAATTAAATACTATATTCATAGTACAGAAAATTGAGTTATAGATTTAAAAATAACATTCTATTCTCCTAGTCCATAGACACAGGAGAGTAAAGTGTATAGGAATGGTGGAGAGATGCACACAGTGTAAATGATATGCCGATAAAATCCTAAATCTAAATTTTTTAACTTTTCTCTAATTCAAAATAATAATCTGTCACAAATTATTTAGGTAATACTTGTGTGGAACACCAGATAGCTTTACAAATTTTTGTTTGCTTTCTACCAGAAAGTTTTGGAAAACAATTTCTAGTTCTTTGATTCTCGTCAGTCTACTGCTGATGAGGTTTACTAATTCAAACTCTAAACATTGACAGTGGTCCAGAATAAAATAATAAAACCCAGTATTCATAAAGAAGACATTGTCCAAAAGGTATGTAAGCCGTATGAATCTCTGAAGTTCAAAATCAAAAGAAACTGTGTTTTGAAAATACTGTATACACCCTCAAAATATGTTCCTACCATATGCTTATTAACGTAAAGGCCAATTACTGTCCAGCAGCACAATCAACAATGCAATACGTTTTGTCATAAGAGGATTTACAATATACCATATAAACCATTTACTCAAGAGCCTAACAGGTAGTCGAAATGAATTGTTTTTTTAATGAGTTACATATATAGCCAAATATTATATTTCTTTCTGCAAAAAAAGTGTTTATATATGAAATTACAATTTCCTTTATTTAAAGAATTCCATATAAGTGAGCAACTATTCTACTTAAGCCTACAAAACAGTTTTTCAGAATAGCAATCTCAATATCCCAATACCACCAGAAGTATTCTAATTATTGAATTTCATTTACATATGATTTGCTATGAATACCTTTTGCCTGCCTTTAGCTGATTAGCCACATACTGAAGAAGACCAGCAAGATCAATTGGATATTTACGAAAAACTGCACCACAGAAACTAGCCAGACCTATATGAAATAAAAAAATAGGGCTTTTAAAAAACAGTTCATAAAACAAAAAAAAAAACACAGTATTAAGTGGCATTTCTCAACTAACTCAATTTCTAAAACAAAATGAGGTAGGAATAATTGTACTGCTGATGCCACTGAATGGAGTTTTACAATTAATAATAGCTAGTATTTATTGAGCATACATATGCTAAGCACTATACTAAGTAAGTACTTTACATTAATTAACTCATTTAATTTTTGCAATAATCATCTCAGGTTGGCTTAAACCCATCGATGAGGAAAATTTGGAACAGATATATCATGCAACTTGTTCATGTCACATAGTTGGTATGAGGTAAAGCAGTGATTCAAAGCTATACGGCCTGACTCCAGAGCCTGTTGGGCCACAACAATTAACCAGGCCACAACAAAATCTTGCAGATCACTCAGTAAATTTGAATGATCAACAAAACACACTAATGAGTCAATCTCTAAGGAGCTGCACACAAAAAAATCTCTCAACTAGAAACATATTGCTAGTTGTGGAGAGGCAAGGAAACAGGTAAAGCATTGCCAGACCAGGAAGCAAACAAAAGACCATTTTAACCAATAGTCCTTACCGCATTATGAGTAGGGAGAAAGCCCCAGTCAAGACAAGAGGAGATCCTAGTAAAATCAAGTGATCTGTGGCCTTTTCAACAATTATTTGCTGAGCACCTTAAAGCATAATGGACAAAGCACAGGTACTGCCCTCAAGGAGCTTACAGTCTAGTGAGGGATACAGAAAAGTAAGCTGAAATAACTGATAAATAAAAGGTTCCATGGGAGTACAGAGAAGAGCACCTAATTCTGACTTTTGGGTAGGAGCATTAATAGGGAAAGTTTTCTGAAAAAAAGTGACCTCTAAGCTGAAATCTAATGAGTATATAGATATGGTGGAGGAAATGAGTAGGCATGGAAGGGTATTCCAAGTGGAGGCAATACATGTACAAAAAGGCCATGGAAAGTGTAAGTATTCAGTATTAATGGAGGAGGGGCAAAAGATGAGCCTAATACACCGAGTAAAAGGACCCGATCCCACAAGAACTCACTTGTATGACTTAATGCAAATTTCAGACTTTAAAGGGCAATGGGGAGCTACCACAAGATTCAGCTATCAAACACAACAGGTTGAAAGAAAAGGGAACTCACAGCTGGAAATCAAAAGCACAAGATATTTAAAATGAAACAATCACATTTAATCACATTAACAATCACATTTTTTGTTCTTTTAAGATGACTGAAACCTCAGGATGGAAAGGAGAGAAAGGAGAAGAGTTCCCTTAAGATTAATTCCTCTAAAAAAAAAAGATTAATCCCTCTAAAATAATAGAAGGGAATTTTTATCTCCCCAGTAATGTTTGCACAAATTCTATGAGAGCCAATATTGGACTCTTCAGTTGGAAAATGAGTAAGTACTATGAACTTCCTTACACAGCCGAAGACTTAGAGACACTCTGAGAACGAGCTGAGTGGCTAGGTATTCTCAAGACCTCTTTACAAATAGGCCCTTAGCATTAGCAATAGGATACTTAACATGGCAATTACAACAGATGGAAATTTCATCCTTAGAAAAATAAAAATACTTACTCTGAAGCCAACTTGAGATGGTTGTGTCATCATGTTTCATTCTCTCCTTTTCTGGATTAGCTAAAGCTTCAATGATACAATCTTTTGCACATTAAGGAAAAATTTTAGGTCAATACATCTCTAACAAAGACCCTTTAAATAATAAGAAAATGCCACATCTTGGGGAAAAAATAAAATTGTTAGCTTCAAGTTATTACAGATTATTGAAAATTACACTTACTGTCGTACCAACTTTTACATCTTTCACCAAGCAAGACATATTACCATGTTAAATAAAGTTGACTTGTTCTCTCCCTATACACAACAGACACACACACACAAACTCCTGACTACCCAACCTTTAGACCAGCCAATGGAATTAACCTCATATGGTTATTAATGGAATTCAGAGTGAAAAAGAAAAATAAAAAGAATGAAAACAAATGTTCACCAGTTAAGACCTATGAAATGTGAGATTTATGTATTACTTCACTTGAAAGGATACAGGCCAAAACATCATAATTCAATGAAGTGAGGTATTTCAATGAATCTACTACAGGTGTTATTAAATTATCATACTTCTGTATTTGTGACAAGATCTGAAAGATAGCAACAAAAGACAGATAGCATTTACTCATCAAAAGGGAACTTTTGTGCTAAATAATAGCTATACTTTTTGTTTTTCAAAAGAAACAATGCTTAAAATTAAAGTAGCCTCCTTCTACTTTGTATTTATATAAAACCTACTATATTCTATCATTTCTTAGGAAGTACTTTCTTAGGCTATATTCTTTAATTAGGAAATAATTCCAGGACATATAACTTGACTTCTGGAATGATAAATGCCAAATGTCTTTCAGAAATCTTTCTAAATATGAAAGCATTACGTCTGAGTCACAATGAAATGCGATTCAAATATTTCTAACAACTAAAATCAATAAATAATGCATCTCTTTATTAATATTTTTCTAAATCAACATGGGGTAAATAAAACAATTTAGACTGTTTGACAGTAGCATTGTTACATATGACCAAAAAAGCAGATCAATGTGTTAAATATACTGTATGCTGTTTTATTTTTAGAGTAACCATACAGTCTCATTTGCTAAAGATTTTTTCCCTTAAAACTATCATTTCTAAAACTTCATCATTCCATTTCCACTTGTGCTGATTTAAAGACAACAAAAAGGAAAATCCCTTAAAATAATATTAACCTCAAAACATACATAATCAAACAAAATGGTTGGATTGCTGTGGCTCAACTTCCCAATTTGTCTTCCGGAAGGCTTCACATTTTCCTTGGTTAGACGCCTACAAGGGGAAAAATAGTGGCAGAAATCATGTTAAGTCTTTTCCCTTATAATGTTGATAGCTTTGTTGTATCATAAAAAAAAAACAAACAAAAAACAATTCTTTCCCAAGTATCCAAAATGGATCCATGTAAAACCACCACATTTTTCATATACATTACTATAGGACTTAAGTTATTTTGGTTAGGCATTCTCCCAAAGGGTATCAATGCTTAACATTTATAATACATACACTTCCATTTTATAGAAATAGTCTAATAAGCAAAAACTCTTAATGTACTCTACAAGTATATAAAACTCCTCTTGAAGAAAATCATAATTATTTTTTTAAAGATTTTTCTATTTATTTGTCAGAGAGAGAGAGGGTGCACAAGCAGGGGGAGCAGCAAGCAGAGGCAGAAGCAGGCTCCCTGCTGAGCAAGTAGCCCGATGCAGAACTCAATCCCAGGACCCTGGGATCATGACCTGAGCCAAAGGCAGATGCTTAAACGACTGAGCCACCCAGGCATCCCAAAAATCATAATTATTTTAGATTTAGAAGTGCTCATTTATCAGTTTAGGTATCAAATTCAGTGTAATGCAATCAAATACCTCATACCATCTGTCTAAGTTACCCTAACAGAGTAAGAGCTACCAATGCTGCATTCCTTGATAGAGGAAGTTCTCTGGTTTTCGTGTAAACAATTTTTGAAAGTAAACAATTTTTTTAAAACTCAGTTCTACTCCTTTCCTTCCTCTTTAATTCTTCCTCTGCTCAGTATTCTTTTAACTAACATTCTGGAAAACATATCTATGAAACGCTTACAGCTCAAAATTATTACACAGCATCTTAAACTCTTCTGATATTATACAGTAAATCCAGAAACTTAAAAAAAACTGATGACTAAAAGCTTTCTAGAATGAAAATACAATGCAATGAAGCAAATAATGAATTCAATTGATAGTTCAAGGAATGGGACCATTCTGGAAGTAACAAACTTGATAATTATGTTAAGAAGTTTCTCCCTTTTTTTGAAGATTTTATTTATTTACTTGACAGAGATCACAAGTAGGCAGAGAGGCAGGCGGGTCGGGGGTGGGGGGAGCAGGCTCCCTGCTGAGCAGAGAGCCCCATGCGGGGCTTGATCCCAGGACCCTGAGATCATGACCTAAGCCAAAGGCAGAGGCTTAACACACTGAGCCACGCTGGCACCCCCTTAAGAAGTTTCTTGTGACAAAACTGACCCATCAATCAAAATTATTTCATCATCAATTGCTCCCCTTTCCCATTCTCCATTGTCCAGTTTCCTTTTATCCCACAGAAAAGAGAGACCAATCAAATTTGAAACTTTGGCTATACTCTGTTCCACCTTTAAACGTACTGCTACCTGTCCTTCCTTCTGACCCTACTATTTCAGGTGGTCCTCCTACTTGCCAAAGCAGATCCATCCTCTCTATACCTTTTATCCCATTCCCTTCTGCCTCCACCCTGGAGGGAAAAACAAAAAAAGTAAAAAATAAAAGGAAGACTTTCTTGATGATGTCTTACCCTTAAGCTACCATGGTGTCTGGCATATGGAACACAATCAATGGCCATCTGTTGAATGAATTACTGAATGCCTTACAGCAAATGCATTTTTTAAACAGTAATCAAAACTTGAGAAATTTTGTAAGTAATAAATTAATAGATTCCATTCCCAAAATACAAAGTTTAATCAACACCAAAATCATATTGCTCAAGCCTGGTGAAATAATTACAACAACAAAAATCCAAGTACATTAACTACACATACTCTTCTCTGATATATATTTTTATTAATTCATTCATTCATATTAATGTCTTCTATAACAGGCAAAGAGCTAAGCATGTGGAATACAAGGATGAATAATAGCTCCTACTCTCAAGCTTAGTCCAGCTGGGGAGAACAACTTAACCTATTTTTTAAATTTTACATTCTTAAATCCAGCAAGTTACAGAACAGTATTTATTATATGCTATCAATAGTATAAAGGGAGAGAATAATGTTTTTGCATTCACCTATATATACACAAAAATCTCTGGGAGGATAAATAAACTAAACAGTGGCTACTTTTTTCCTTTAGGAGGACTGAGTCAATGGAGGATGGGATGAGAGACTTTTTATTATCTACCTCTTTATATTTATTGAAATGTAAACCATGTGAATGTATAAACTATTCAAAAGATTAGATAATTAGATAAAAGAAAATAATCACAGCAATATCTAAATGGTATGATAGCATCATATGTACATGGGACAGCAGTGGTACAAAGAACAGTCAACTGTGCTTGGCAGTACGTACTACAGAAGGCTTTGTGAGGAGCTAACACTGAAGCCCACCCTCGAAGGATGATGAGGTCACCAGATTGAGAGAGGAAAAAGAGGTAAGGGAAAACCTGTTCAAACAGAAGAAACGAAAAATATATGCAAAGAAAAAGGAGACCACAGTACATTCAGGGAAACTTAACTGACTGAGCTCAGCACAGCTGGAGGTAGAATTAGCTGGCAAAGAGGTTGGAAATGGGGAGAGACAGAGTGTGAAAGGTGTCTTACATCACCATGTCATAAAGATTGACATATAACCTACAGGCAACAGTTAGTCACCAAAGGATATTGAAGAAAGAATAAAGAATAAAGGTACCATAATACTCCAGATAAAAGAAGTCAGTGGCAGTAGAGAGTAAAGACACAGATTGAAGAGATCTGATAATATTTACTATACAACTGACCCCTGAACAACACAGAGATTAGGGGCAACAAATCCCTACACAGTCGAAAATCTGTGTGTAATTTCTGACTCCCCAAAAACCTTAACTACTAATAGCCTACTACTGACCAGAAAGAAGCCTGCCTAATAACATAAACAGCAGATTAACACATATTCTGTATCTCATATACTATATTCTTACAATGTAAGAAAGTTTTTTAAGTAAGAATATTACAAGTAAGCTAAAGAAAATGTTATTAAGAAAATCATAAGGAAAATACATTTACACTACTGTCAATACCGTTAAGCTTACATTGTCTATTTACAAGATAGACAGTCTGTCAGCACCCACACCAGTACTATCTTATATGATACAGAACACTGTAGATGTTATATGCATCACTAACACTAGACATCAAAAACGAAGACAATGTGAAAAGAAACTCGTATTTATTTACAGGTATAATGATTCATGCACTGACAACAAAACAGCAACAATATGATTGCTTTATGGCAGCCTAATATAATTGATATGACTGCCTCATGGTAGCTTAGCTTATATGCTAAAGAATGAATCGTTATCAAATTTTTATGGCATATAGCATTACAGTATATTCATAATACAGTACTGGAAATACTATTAGTTTTTTTTTTTTTTTTTTTGACAGACAGAGATCACAAGTAGGAAGAGAGGCAGGCAGAGAGAGAGGGGAGGAAGCAGGCTCCCTGCTGAGCAGAGAGCCCGATGCGGGGCTCGATCCCAGGACTCTGGGATCATGACCTGAGCCGAAGGCAGAGGCTTTAACCCACTGAGCCACCCAGGCGCCCCTATTACTTTTTTTAAAAACCCACTTATCTGTGATAGGCTGATAATGCAGTTTGTCCAATTACAAGAAAGGCATATTACACAATAATAGAATTCTTTGAAAGCAAAGTTATAAAAGAAAAGTAAGAAAACAAACACATTATTAATTTTGTTAAATATCATTCACCTATGCGTATGTAAGGATAAGCTACCCACTTGCATACAAGTCTTGCACACAATATCCTACGTGACGATGATAAAGAGGACACAAAAATATCTCCTATAGTTCTTGCCAAAAGGTTAGATTTCACACGAAGACACACAAACACAACAGGCAAATTTATTAACTGTATATCATGATGATTATTTACTATTCATTAAGTGGAAGTGGATTAACATAAAGGTCTTCACTCTCATGTTGGTCTTCTTGTCTCAGGGATGGCAGAGTGGAAGAGGCAGAGGAGGTGGAAGGAAGGCAGTTGAGACAGGCACACTCAGTGTAACTTTATGGAAGTAAATGGTAATTTCTGTCTTTTTTGCTTTTCTACCTCTTCAAAAATGTTTCTATATGGTACCTAGCCTTCTTCCACCATCTGCTTTAGTTTCAGTGCTCCTATCACAGAAGGGTCCATGTCATAACAGAAGTCAAAAAGCAGTCTAGAATGTAAGAACCTTCTGCCAGATTGTCCATTGTTTCCTGGCACCTGGTATTTATCTTTTCCCTTTGAGGCTCAGGAGCTATAGCAGCTTGATAGGTAAGGGCACTCCAGATCATAAACCTGACTGTGTTTGCACAAAACAACAGAGTTAGCCTATCCCTTCCTACCTTAAATCCTGGTGCTTCCTCCTCCTTCCTCACAAATAAATGTTCTTTGTGGCTTTATTTTCCAGAATAGGGCAACTTTTGTCTGCATTAAAAACCTGTTCAGGCAAATATCCCTTCTCCTCAATGATTTTCTTAATGGCATCTGGGAACTTATCTACTTTCTGCCTCTTGTTCGGCAGAAACGGCTTCTCCTGTCATCCTGACTTTTTTTTAAGCCAACCTCTCTAAAATTATCAAACCATCCTTTGCTGGCCCTTAAATTCTCCAGCTTCTGATCCTTCACCTTCCTTTTGCTTTAAGTTTTCATATAATGAGTTGGCATTCTCTCAAATTATATTAGAATCAATAGATATTTCATTCTTAAAGCAATCCTGCACCCACATAACAGCTGCATTTTCAATACAAGATAAAAAGGTATTTCACAAAAACTACAAGGTTTTCACATCTGCTGGTATAGCTGCAGCAATGACTTGATGAATTTCCTTTAAAAAAAAAAAAAGTCCTTACACTGGATTCATTTCTCTTGAAAACAGCAGATAGCAGCAGCTACAGACCTCAATCTATGGTACATTATTAAGCAATTCACCTTTTTCTTGTAATGTCATGACTTTTCTCTGCTTGTGAGCACTTCCGGCAGCACTAGAAGCACTTCGTATGGGTCCCAGGGTGTTATGCAAGGCATACAGTATCACAATAAACACGAAAAATATGTAAGAACCGTGAGAGATCACTTTTTACTGCAATACACAATTTGTTGGGGAGATGAACTGCTCACACAGAGATGATTAGCATCACACAGTATTTTAAGCGGACACTCAACAACACTTGAGCTCACTGCATAGCAACAGGGGGTGGTTACAAAATTATTATAGTAGTACAGTATTACAGGTAGTTTTATGCAGTTATGACTTAATACTAAATCTTCACATATGTTTACATCTCTCTTGACTGAATGGCACATTGTACAGTCTGTAAATGTGCATGTAAGTAAGTTCTGGTAAATTTTAACTTTGTAGAATAGATTGGTGTATATTTTATTGTAGCAAATGATAAAATAGACTGGTATCTACATGTATTTTATGCATTCATGACATACCTTTTTCTTGATTTTTTCAGTATTTCTAGGCTATGTGATTTGTAAGTTTTTTCAAATTTGTTCGAAATCTCCAAAAAAATTTCCAATACATTTATTGAAAAAAATCCACATGTGAGTGAATCTGCATAGTTCAAACCCATGTTTGTTCAAGGATCAACTGTATTATTAAATAATCCACCTAAAGCACTTGGTTCACGGCCTAGCACAAATAAATATTAATGGCTCCATAAATATTAGCTGTTGTTGTTAAGCTAGATACTCTACTTGGCAAATTCATAAGACCAGAACTCCTTTGGAAGAACCAATTCTAATATCATCTTTCTACGCCTTCCCCAACTTCCACAGGGTGAAATAACTCACTCTCTTCTCTATCCTCCCAAATAACATTATATATATTGCATAAAGCAACTACTAAACCAGACTGTGATTGTGCACACACCTGTTCCCCCAGCAGACTGTGGCCAGGGACAGTATCACTGGGCAGACAGTATCACTGCATACTGTTAAATCTAAACTAGAGAAGAAACTATTTTAATTAGAATAACCATACCACTGCATAAACATAAAAGATATGGCAATCAACAGCCTTGCTGAAAACACTCGTAATACAGCAGTTATTTAGCAGCATATAAACCGACAAGTATACGATTTTCATAATTAAATTTCAGTTTGCCAAGAAGTAAAAGCACACAAACGAAGAGAATAGAAATTTTTCAGAAGTTGACTCAAGGAGGTAGTTCTGCATAATTCCATTAGATTTTCCAAAAAAGAGAATTTTTTTTAAGATCTTATTTATTTGAGAAAAAGAGAGAGAAAGCACACATGCAAGCAGGGGTAAGAGAAGAGGGAGAGGGAAAGGCAGAGAATCCCAAGCAGACTGTGTGCTGAGCACAGAGCCCAATGCAGGGCAGGATCCACAACCCATGAGATCACAAATTAAGCCAAAACCAAGAGTCAGAAGCTTAACTGACTGAGCCACCAGGGCACCCCAGGAAAAATCTTTATTATGATAACTTTTGGCAGAAGAAATTTCAGAACTTTGACCACCTTTTATAAGCCATTAAATGTATTATGCAAACTGAACAAAGGCCATAGTAGGCTGTCCTTTAAAAACAGACTCACCCTATAATATGATGCATTAAAGATTATTAGATTTTACAGCTATGCAAACATGACAACTACAAAAACTAACTTGGTAGTCAAAATGAGCTAAAAGGCACAAAAATTGATAGTCATTCTATCTGCAATATATAATCAGCTATACCATTAAGCAAATACTCCTGGACTTTCTCAGAACTGAGGCTCAGACATAAGTTGGCTAGAAGAAAGTAAATTAATCCAGATATACTTTAGGTTAATATGAAGAAAAGTAAATTAAAACTTACTTCATGATATATTTGGCTCTGTCTATTGTTTGGGCTTTAACTTTTACTAAAAGTGGGTGACTGTTATAAGTTTCATTCTTCCATTGGCCATACAGACGATATCTTAAAAAACGATGAGATGAAGAATTAGGAAAAATTAAATACTTAGAGGTTAATGCACTAGAACAGTAGTTAAAAATACAAAAATATTATGTATTTACCTATGCTGATATGGAAATGTTTTAAACATTCCCCACAGTTCCTCAGACATACAAGCATTGCAGTCCATCAAAGAAAGAGATGGAAGAAGTACCTGGTCAGTAATGCTAAGTAAACAGCTAAGGATAACTTCCTAAGAAAAAGGGAGGAAAAATTATTTTAGTAAAAGGTCCACATTAACCGCCCCCCCAAAATAAGTCTCTGTCAGCCTTGGAAAAACTGCCATTCTTTGATCTCATACCACACCACATCTAATTTCCCACACTATCACTGCCCTTTTCACAATGGATATTTGTGCTTCTCCATCTAAGGGAGCAATGAGATGAGGTAAGGAAAGGGGTAGCAAGAGAATAAGGGACTTGTATTATCCCTCTTCCTTTCTCAACATGGTAATCCTCAAAAACAGGAGTTATCAATCTTAAAAGATATGTCAAAAACTATACTAAGCACGTGGAGTACAAAATATTCACACAGGTGATTAAAGCTTGTTCACAGTAAAATTTACAGTATGCTGTACAAAGACAAATCAGATACAATACTTTGGATTTTTCTAGTCTCTTACCGTTTTCTCTTTATCTTCTTGTTTGCTTCCATCAGACTGAAACTAAAATTAAAAAAAACTATAAATAAAATGCAAAAAGGTTAAGATTATGATGTCACAATTTAACATCTAATTTGAAAAAAATTAACTTGCACATGGTTGTGAATTATTTCCTTACTTTCTAAATAAGTGTAGATTTTAAATATAACCAGCATTACTAATTAACATTTTTAAATTTCACCTATATTTCTAACTTTCAAATCATCTGCAACATTCATGAATTTTAAATGTCAATTTTATAAGCCAATTCTTTTCTCAACCTCATTAACACAACCAAAGCATCTTAAAAATTGATCTAAGTATTTATTATAAGATTGTATCCAGCACAATTTAGTTATAATGCATTTGCATTCTTCCATCCAGAAGTTCTAATTTTCTGCTATGGAATTAGTAAAATCTAAGACTAAAGCAATAACACAAAAGATTAAAGCCAAAGAAATTTAAACTATGTTTTAATTCACCATTACTTAAACTCTCAATGAGAAGCCCAAAATATTAGTAACATTACTGACAAAGACCAAACCACTGCCTAAGCTGGCCTGAATGAAAAAACTTGAGTCATTTCCTATCAGTGATTTGCAGATGGACCGCTGAAGTACCATGTTTGATGCTGATGCTGTCCATTCATTCAAAATGAAATAGTAGTACTTATGTGTGCATACAGGCAAGTGGAGAGTTAGAGGAGTGTGCAAAGGCCAAAAGGACAATTGAAGCACTGATAGCCAAGGACAATCTAGATGTCTGGGAAGAATTTAACTCAATACCAAGTGACGAAGGGGGAAAATGCTAACATGCAGCTAACAAGCTTATTTACCTTCTTGGCAGAGATGGGTATTTTGTGCATGTTGTTTTCATACTTGGTAATTTAATGGATACTACTAAAGAGAAATCTAACTTCTGTGCAACATTTCCACATAAGACTAGTTCGGGGACTGCCATGTCATCTTGATGGGGGAAAAAAAACACATAATCCCCCCCCACTTTTTTTAATCAGCAAGTTAAAAAGATATGGTTCCCTTTCACAGAAAGAACTATTAAGTCAACATATATCCTGGTCAGCAAGTAAAGGTCAGGTTATGAAGGAATGGTCTGGCAGAAAACAAAGTAGATAGCTGCTTTGGTTTGGTTTGATTTGGTTTGGTTTGGGGCAGGGGGATAATTCTGGTGGCACATTAGGAAGAACTAGATTTACAGTATAGTCTGTCGGGGATAAAGACAGTTAAGCTACTCCTTTTCTTGTATATTATAATTCTAATGAAGCTACACATAGTTTTCTACATAGAAATGAAACATTTTCTTACCTACTAAACTGTCTTAATTCCTTTACTAAATACTTATTTAAGTTTGTAATGTCTCTATGTCAGTTAGATACATTCCAATCCCTTGATGCTTTTTTTCTTTTAGTTTAATTTGCTTTTTAATTTAGAGTAAATATAAAACTCTCCATTCCCATAGTACAACACGAAAATCTTATTGAATGGCCAGTCCAGGAAGAAAGTGAGGAAGAAAAGAGGGGGAGAAACAAAATATATACATTTCATTCATTCATTTGCTATGTGCCAGACACTGGGAATTCTAAAATGAACAGAACAGAGCTCCTATCTTTGAGGAAGTGACAAAGACAGTTCCCATCTTTGAGGATCTCTTGAAGCGTAGTTTACACTTACCAATGTACCATTAGGAACTGAATTTTTATGTCTGAATAAAATCAAGCATAATTATGCCTAGACAGACCATCAGCTAAAAATAGCCCCAAGCAGGTTCCATTCTTGCCCTATAGTGAGGGAGCAGATGACAAGGCTGCATAAAAGAACTGGGCAGAAAAAGAATGTAGGTCCACTAAGAGGGGGTTTCTCGAGAGTCAAGAAATAAAGCTTGGTAAAAAGCTGTAGATTTAACTAGATAAATTACTTTATCACTGATGTCCTACTTTTACTATCTCCAATCCATGAATATTTGAAATGCTACTTTATACTTTATTTCAGAAAAGAAAAAAAAGAAAAATAGATAAGATATGTGACTAGAAAAAAAAAAAAAAGATATGTGACTAGATTTGAACCTGAAGCTAGATCTAAGTACACTGTGGCACTATTTTCACCTTATTTTTCTCCTTCTTGTTAACTGCCATTTATGGAGTACTCACTATGTGCCATACAGTAGACTAAGAATTTCCCATTTAGGTCTTAAAACTGTTAAGGAAAATCTTTTTGCTAGAAAGGATCCAACTAAGACCCATCAAAATAACTTAGAAATAGAAAATATAACCTACAGGTTAAAAGTTACAAGGCCATGAGTTTACCGAGCCTGAAGAAGAGATAAATGAATTGCCTTCCAATGTTTTGGTTCAAAGCTTTGTTTTTATCTTTTAATCAGGAACTCTTAAAATTGTATAAAACAGAACAATCAGTAATATTGATACTACATCATTTCTGAAAACAGAGATACTAAATGGAAAAGTACTATCTTCCAACACTTTTCATTTTAAAATCAGTACAAATCTGTAGCAAAGAATTAATAATATGGTCACCAGTACACAGGATGACCATATGTGCTGGTTCTTGCTTTTTATCCTAGTGTATGTAACAGTACAACCTTTCCATCTTGAGTATCCTGGTTTAGACAATAAAGCACATGGTCTCCCTTCCCTACCCCATGAGTAGCATTCAAATTGCAGTAAATGGACTTGTGGGAGTGGTTTAAACATTAAAATATAGCAAACAAAACAAAATGCTAAATAGCTACACTTGGTTTCATAAAATTCATCACCCAAAAGTAATTACTTTGGTTAAAACATTGATTATGATATGAAATTGTGCTGTTTTACACAAGCATAGTTCTAACAAGCCATGTGTAAAAATGGCTATTTTTGGTGCACTTAATGAATATGAATATGTGATTTACTTAAATGAATTCTCTTCATAAATGGAGTTCATAACAGAAGTCTGTTGTAAAACAAAAAAATTGCCCTGTAAATGTATCTTTAGGGAAAATTAAAGTTTTCGTATGGAACTCATTTAAAGGGATATGCCCCTGTGTTTTACTTTACATTCCCCCAAAAGCAGACCCTATTCAAGTGCAGACATAATTTATTTTGGAAGCAACCCTAGGTACCACTAGTAGGAATTATTCCTGTGAGTTAACTGGAACTTAATCCCACTGGGGACTCTGAGGGTCCCAGAAGAAATACAACTCAGGATTATCCCATCTCAAAGCATGGTAGTTAAACACTAACACCAATCATTTCACTGGTTGAGAGCTGGGGAAAGGGGCGCAAAGTCAATTAGCTCTCCAGAAATTCCAGGATACCAATTCCTATATTACCTAAGTGGCCAGAAAAGCCCTCAAAGAGAGATGCAGGTGCCAATAGTTGAAAATTGGGCTGGCACACACCAAAATGATAAGGATCTAGTGTAGAGCCAAAAGAATACAGATGGAATCTAATAGCATCTGCTATGCTCTGCATGGACAAATGGCCAAACCTTCAAGAGTTGAATCTTTCACAAATATTTTTCATTTTTACATCCTACATTTTTTTTCCTGAAACTGAACACTGGGGTTCAATTTGAGAAAACCATCTTTGAGAGGAGGCACAAGGATCGAATCGACTGCTTACAGTGTGCGTCTGGTGCACACTAAAAATTTGACTTGTCTTTCTTATACAAAATATACTTCTCAAAATTATACCGTTTGTACACAGAGTCTACATTTGCCTATTAACAGACTTAGTATCTGCCTATCTTGTATGTTTTTATATTTCTCTTAAGTAAAAAGCATAGTTAATGGTAAAAATTAAGAACCTATTTTTAATTTTATTACCTTTACTATGATTCTACATCTTGATTAGAATTGTCATATATGACATCTTGAGCTAAGATGACCTTAGTTCAAATACAGGTGACAATATAAGTACAAATATAAACATCCTAACAGTTCTTCCCTGATCAAGCTCATTAAATAGCAAGAATGTTATAGATTAAATCTGGTCTCCAACTTTGGAGTTCATTTGCTTTGTATAAGACTTACAATAGCAAAAGTACATAAAGGAGCTTAGTAAACAATGCCACTGAGAGCTGCCTCTGTCTCTCGAACAATAAGAATTATAATGCAAGGTTCTAATTCTCCTAAAAATATTCTTACAAAATTTTTGTCTACTTGAAATTGGAAACTGACATGTCTATAGCTACCCCTCACTAGTCCTTTCACAAAGCCCCAGCAATAAAAATTTGATAAAAAATTTGTTTTGTTACTAATTTATAACATAAATTTCCACAATGAAAGAGGGGGAACATCTGATTACCACCACAATGTAAAGAAGTCAAAGACATTCCTATATAAAAATCAAATCTTCTCTGATGGGTAAATGAAGCTGCTACTTTAAAGTAGTATCTATTATTTAAAGACAGAGATAGATTAAAGTATATTAATACTTTAAAACAAATCATCAAAAGCCAGTGCAGTGACAACTAACAAAAGTTGTAACTTACTATGTTCTGAAGAATTCATGACAACTTTAACTCTCTGAAGTTGAATGCCTAGTTAATGTTAGTATCTAATTAATGTTTAGACAAATCTTATTTGATTCTCACTGCAACCCCAGGAACTAAGTAAGACAAATATTATTACCACTCATCTTTGGCATAGAAAAGTCACATTACTAACATGTAGCTAGCAGCTCATCCTGATGAAACCAGTTAACCTAACAATCAGTATGTAATGCCTTAAATTTCTTTGTTTGGGAACAGCCTTAAATGAAGACTCTTTGTGGGCAAGCTAGGTTCTAAAGTCAGTGCATACAATGAAAATTACATATACTCACAATTACCCTTAAAAGTCCCTTAAAGTATCTATAAAGTACACAGATACATTATCTTTCATTTAAGTCCACTACAAGACTGTTCTCCCCCTGTAGTATTAGAAGAAATCACTATTAATCACTTGAACATGAGATGGGAATATGAATTCATGTGAACATGAAGTAAGTAACCGGCTTGCATTTAGGGGCC